CAAGCTTCTGTCCAAGTTTGGTAGAAATCTAGGATAGTTTAAGAAAGTTATTAAAATTTCAAAAACTTTAACCACAGAGTGAATATTTGTGGACGCCGACGACGCCGACGACGACGACGACGACGCCGACGGAATGTAGGATCGCTATGTCTCGCTTTTTCGACTAAAGTCGAAGGCTCGACAAAAAGAAGGGATATGAAGTATTTATTCATGACACAAAAACCAAAGCAAGGATCAGCCCTTTTATTGTGGTTCTTCAATTCAAAGCCACATAATGTACTGTTACAGTACAAATTCATATTCAAACCATTATTTGAATAGTAAAATGTCTGTTAGAAAAATGAAATAAATTCTTTCGGTGGTGAAAAAAATTAAAGGTTAAAAATGAAATAAGAATCCTGGACAAGAGGTAAAGAGGGCATGCTGGTCAGAGCCTTGCTGTGGTAAACAAGCATTCTGTGGAGAAAATTCCATAATTACTGTCATGATAATTGGCACATCAAATATTTAATTCTTCTTTGAAAAGGGCATTGCTAATAAACCCTTTAATGTGAAAATACATTTTTGTCTATATTTAGCTGCTTTGACTTATTGACCTTATAATCAATAGAATCAACCTCCACTCTATTAAAAGACATTGTACACCAAGTTATGCTAAAATCTTTTTTTTTATGGCCTGAATTATGATAAAATGTTGATACTTGAACAGCATTTATTAAATCAAGTTGTGTCACATCTCTGGTAAATGTAAACATATTGCTTGCCAGCACTTAAGGCAAACAGATGATGATGGATGGCTGCTTAACGTCCAGCGGCAAATTAATATGCACATTCAGGATGAGAACATGTTAATGTAATATGAATACTAACTCTGCTTTGTACAAGACCAACACACTGAGCCAGATTTTTAACGTGCTAGTTCACAAGGTAACAGTCCACAGGAAGACATGTCACCTTACCTGGACACATTATTCTGACTCCGATCCAACCAGTCTTTGCTCTTATTCCTTAATGCTGCATGCTTAGCTGAGAAGCAGCAAATACCAATTTTAAAGTCTTTGGTTTGACCCGGCCGGGGTTTGAACCCAGGACCTCCAGCACTTGAGGCGAACACGCTACTACAAGACCACCGAGGCAGTTCTAAGGCAAACAGTGTTGATACCATGTACAATAGATAGTCAACAGACATTGCAAAAGATATCCATATTAAACTGTTGACACAGAGAAATGTCTCGTGTTTTGTAATTTTGATAATATAATGCAAATGTGGAAATCAAAATGGCAATATTTAAACATGTAAACTATGCAAATCATTCAAAGTCAATGAACCATGACTGAATGTGCAGAGCCAAATAACCTCCATGGAAATCAGAAATGCCAATGCTTATAAAACTGCATACCAAATACCATTGACTTATCATAATTCATTCCCTTTAAACAAACCTAAACACAAACTTTAACTTGTAAACTATGTAAATTTTTCAAAGTCAATGAACTATGATGACGGGGCAGGGCCATATAATCTCCATGGAAATGAGACTTGCAAATACCAACACATCTGCATACCGAATATTGTTGACTTAACATTAGTGGTTCATCTTAAACTGATCTAATCACAAACTTTAATATGTAAACAATGCAAAACATTCAAAGTTGATAGACCATGACTGAGAAGGTGGTAAAAGCTTAAATCGTGAAAATCAAACTTGACCTTCATTTAGTCACAGGAAACAACATATCTAAATTTGAAAAGATTTCTTCAAAGCGTTTACAAGTTATTGCAGGGACAACGCTCTAAGTATTACTTTTCACTACTTAAAGGTCTACAGCTCACTCTAAGTAACACTTTTCAATACTTAAAGGTCTCTACAACTCAACAGCGATAAAAGCTAAATTGTGAAATTCCTTCATTTAGTCACAGGAAACAACATATCTAAATTTGAAAAAATTTTGTCAAAGTGTTTTCAAGTAATTGCACAGACACTGTTTGGCAGCTGCCTGCTCAGCCACATGACCGCCCCCCTGCTGTACATCACCAAATTATTGTTGACTTATTTGTAGACCTTGTCTTGCTGATCATTTTTGCTATTTAAAGTATATATCTATCTAATGTAGATTTTAAGATATGAGGCAATAAAGAGCTGTGCCACGAGTGCATGATAGGCCCTTCGCTTTTTCAAAGAATAAAGTTCCATAACTCCTCAATGTCATAATAGAAATTTATAAAATAAACTGTTAATACTGTCTCGCCTTTTTGTTATTTTGATAATGCAAATATTGAAATTAAAATAGCAATACTTATTATAACATGAAGTGATGCAAATATTCAAAGTCAATGAACCATGACTGAAGGTACAGGGCTAAGCAATCTCCATGGTAATGAAATGTACCAATACTAATACAACTGCAGACTTATCATAAGTGGTTCCCTTTAAACAAACATAAACTTGTAAACTATGTAAGACTTGCAAACGCGAATACATTTGCATACCAAATATCATTGAGTTAACATAAGTGGTTCATCTTAAACTGATCTAATCACAAAATAATACATGTAAACTAAGCAAAAGTTTCAAAGTCAATAGACCATGACTGAGGAGTAAGGACCAAATATTCTCCATGGAAATGATATATACCAATGCTTATACAACTGCATACCAAATGTCATTGACCTATCACAGTGGTTCCCCATAAACTGACCTAATCACAAACTAATACATGTAAACTAATTTTTTAAACGAACACAGGAACATTTATACCGCTTTCGAAAACCTATGAAATTCAAAAGTATAATTTACCAACATTTAGGTAAACACAACCACAATACCTATAGTTAATTTTTGTGTCATTTGGTCTCTTGTGGAGAGTTGTCTCATTGGCAATCATACCACATTTTCATTTTGATATATAATCAAAAGTTTCAAAGTCAACAGACCATGACTGAGGGAGCGGGGCCAAATAATCTCAATGGAAATGAGATGTGCCGATGCTAATACAACTGCATACCAAATATCATTGACCTACCACTAGTGGTTCCCCATAAACTGACCTAATCACAAACTAATACATGTAAACTAATTTTTTAAACGAACACAGGAACATTTATACCGCTTTCGAAAACCTATGAAATTCAAAAGTATAATTTACCAACATTTAGGTAAACACAACCACAATACCTATAGTTAATTTTTGTGTCATTTGGTCTCTTGTGGAGAGTTGTCTCATTGGCAATCATACCACATTTTCATTTTGATATATAATCAAAAGTTTCAAAGTCAACAGACCATGACTGAGGGAGCGGGGCCAAATAATCTCAATGGAAATGAGATGTGCCGATGCTAATACAACTGCATACCAAATATCATTGACCTACCACTAGTGGTTCACCATAAACTAGACCTAATCACAAACTAATACATTGTTGACGCCGCCAACGATGGAAGCAGCATACCTATGTCTCGCTTTTTGACTCTATCAAGGCGAGAAAAAAACTAATCAGAGGTTATTTCATTAGATATAAACCAGTCACCAAAGTTGTTCAAAGCACTTTTGAGTTATTGTCTGAAAACTGGAAAATCCCCCTTTTTTTATGAATAAAATCTCATAACTTGGAAGCGTAAAATCTCTTAAATTTATAAAAATTGAAAGGGAGCTTACATCAATAGATATAAACAATTTACCAAAGTTTCATGAAAACTGCTCAAAGCATTTTTGAGTTATTGTCCGAAAACTGGAAAATCACCCTTTTTTGATGAATAAAACCCAATAACTTGGAAACGTAAAAATCTAAAATTTATAAAAATCGAAAGGGAGCTCATGTCAATAGATATAAACAATCCAAAGTTTCATGCAAATTGGTTACAGCGTTTTTTAGTTATTGTCCAACATGTTCACGACGGAGGGACGGACGGACAGACAGATGGACGGACAACGGTATACCATAATATATCCACTTAACGGACATATAAAAACGCAAAAAATTGGTAATAATTGTCATTATCGTGCAATTACTCTAATATAGAGTCGACTGGAGATATCAGCCTTGTTGACTTATTTGTAGATCTTGTCTTGCTGACCATTTTTGCTATTTAAAATTGCTGTCTATTATAATTTTTGAGAAAATATGCAAAACTTGTAGAAATTGTTAAAATCATAATTTAAGTGCAATACCTCCTATAAGAAGTTGTCTGGCAGTTTTGACATTAATGAACAATAGGTAGAGCTTAACATTATGAACATTTTTGCCTCTGTCAGATTTTTTCTATTGATAGCAGTTTTCAAAATAATAGGTTTAACTTGCATTTTACCTCTATGTTCTATTTTTAGCCATGTCGGCCATCTTGGTTGGCAGGCTGGGTCATAGGACACATTTTTTAAACTAGATACCCAAATGATGATTTTGGCCAAGTTTGGTTAAATTTGGTCTGGTAGTTTCAGAGGAGAAGATTTTTGTAAAAGTCAACAGACGATGACGGACAACGAAAACGGATGCCAAGTGATGAAAAAAGCTCACTTGGCCTTTTAGGACAGAACAAGACCATTTGTTAGCATTTAAATAATTGAAAGGAATTACAACAGTGGCTTTCAATTTTATGGAAAATAAAGTAAAGGAAAACTCAAAGGTCTCTTTCCATCTATATCAATAAAATTGTTCACCATTTAATAATAAACTATCTGTTTAAAATACAGATCATGTGGTCACGCTTTGCTTACAAGGATCTGACAACACTCCATCCTACTTTCTGTTCTGATAACTTTTATATCAACCAATTAAATGTCTGCCTCCAAATTTTAAAAGGTGTGTATCGTTACGACAAAACCTGAAGATCCTGAAAGGACGTTTAAACTGAATGTAGATTTGAGCATTTTCATATCCTTGTATGCAAAAGCATGGACACAGAATCTGTATTTAAATCAGATTGAATAATAAAGAGATTCAACACTCTTAAAAACAATCCATGTTGGATAACAACTCGAAACTTAACACCAAGACAAAACAATAAAATTGTATTTCTTTATTTAATATCATAGGCTCAATAAGAATATGTAAGATTTCTTGTAAATAAAAATTTCTTTGTTCTTCTTAACAATTACATACATTCACAAAACAAATATAGCTACTACACTTAATACACATAATCCTGATATGTCAACTAGACATTGGTCATAGTACTATAGACTGTATATAGTTCATTTTTAAATGTTTTCTGTAAAGTTGTAGAGAAAACTGTTTGACCTTGAAAAATTGTTGTTTAATATAGTGTTTCATAAAGGAAAGACTGTTATAGACAGTAAAATCTATGTCAAATCTTCTTGAAATGTTTAATTTTGACACTCTTTAACTGTTGTGAAGTTGATGATAAAAACTGCTTTTTGAATTAAAAAATATCTGCAATTCATCAGGCAAATACCTCTCATTTAAAAAAAAGATTTATAAATGTTCTTGTAGTTGATCTAATTTTTGAATACTAGTTTTGTTGGCAATGTCACTTATTCATTAACTTATTGCATCATTTTAAAAAATTCATGAAAAAAACAAAACTGATAAAAATGAATACATCATTTAAGGACTATTTAGTATTTGATTAAATTTACAACTAAACAAATACCAACCTTAAAACTGATTTCAATACATGATATCTTCTTGTCATTTTTTCCGATTATATATATTTAATTTATATTTGGTGTAAAATAATTGGTATTTATTTTCTTAATGTAACAGTTTGGAATGTTATCATTTTTTTTTAGGTTAAAAAACCACACATTCTTTCATTCCATGTATACAAGAGATGTCATGCATTTAATACTGATCAATTTCTCAATACGATTTGTAAATAAACTATTAATTAAAGTGAACATTGTCTTCTTTGACAAAACTGTTTTTTTTCAAAAGCATACAATAGTAGACAGAGTATCAGCTTACTGATACAAAAATCACAAAATCTTCTCCAATAGGAAGTCAGTGATGTTTAAATTGAAATTGTTAACTTGTTTGTAGCACTATGATAATTATTAACCAAAAGTCCTTCAAAGTTACTGTCAATTATACCCGCACATTTTGATTAAAGCTGCAAAGCAACAAGACCTTAAAGTTCAGGGTCTTACAATGTCTTCTTACTGTGAAAACTTCTTACTGTGAAAACATTTGATGCTTTTAAATTCAATTTTGTAAAAAAAAAATGCTCCGCTGGGGCGCAGCTTGATACGACCGCAGAGGTCGAACCCTGAACAGTTGGGGCAAGTATGGACACAACATTCAAGCTTGATACAGCACTGAATTTGGATTGTAATCAAATATTTGACACAGCATAGGTTTCTGACACAGAATGAATGTGGTCTAAGAACTTAAATTTTTTTAATTTACCTATTCAAACCATATCATTATTATTTGCTTTTATATGTAAATTATAAATCAGATATAACCAATTTAAAATGGAAAATTTTAAAGAAAAAAAAGCAAAAAAAAATCCCCAACACCCCCAAAATTTTTTGAACCCCCTTATGATTCATCACCCCCAAACTCAATCCCAGCCTTCCCTTTGTGGTATGGTACCTTGCAGTACAATTTCAGAGAGATCCGTACACTTGAACACAAGTTATTGTCTGGAAACTAGAAAAATGCTTGTTTTTTTGCCCCTTTTTTGCCCCAAATTCCTAAAATTTTGAGGGAATTACCCCCAAAATCAATCCCAGCCTTCCCTTTGTGGTATGGTACCTTGCAGTACAATTTCAGAGAGATCCGTACACTTGAACACAAGTTATTGTCTGGAAACTAGAAAAATACTTGTTTTTTTGCCCCTTTTTGGCCCCTTATTCCTAAACGTTTTGGGCAATTACCCCCAAACTCAATTCCAGCTTTCCCTTTGTGATATGGAACCTTGTAGTACAATTTCATAAAGATCCATAAACTTACACACAAGTTATTGTCATGAAACTAGAAAATTGCTTGTTTTTGGCCCCTAATTCCTAAAATTTGGAGGCAATTACCCCCAAAATCAATCCCAGCATTCCCTTTGTGATATGGAACCTTGTGGTACAATGTCAGAGAGATCCATACACTAACACACAAGTTTTGTCTGGAAGTTACAAAAATGTTTATTTTTGGCCCCTAATTCCTTAACTGTTGGTACCATAACCCCCAAAATCAATCCCCACCTTCCTTTTGTGGTATTGAACCTTATGGTAAAATTTCATAGAGATCCATTCACTTAAACTAAAGTTAGAGTGTGAAAACCAATGTGTCTTCGGACGACGACGACGCCAACGTCATACCAATATACGACCACAAAATTTTTTTTTCATATAAAAACTAAATCCAGCCTCTTAAATTTTCTATTTCAAATAATTGTTCTTAATTAAATAAATTTCTTGTTATGAATAAATTTAGTTATTTTCATAAATGTATATACATGTATGTTTCTTCTTGACATAGCTAAAAGTAAGGCTTCAAAGACCTACACATCATGATCAGTAATAAATTGACACAGAGATATGTCTTGCCAGTGTGACAATATAACAAACTTCAACAATTGTTGCCACCATTGACAACAGTATGCCCAAGTCTTGCTCCCACTCCCTTATCACAGGCGAAACAAATGGATCGATGATCAGAATGTAAAAATTTGATGTAACATCAGTGACCCTGAACTTCAAGGACTATTCTAATAAAGCCATAAAGCATAAATACATCTGTAAGTTATTAAAGGGAGGTAATTCCTCCTGATCACAGTCATAATAAACATAAAATACTAAAACAAGACAGCAGCTGTCCAAATTATAACATGTTTACATCAATTATTACATTTCTGTAAGAGATTTCCTTTGTCTATATTACACTGTGCTATGTACATAAATATATAACACACAAAATAATTGTACATCTTTCATACATATATATTTAAATCTTTAAATGTTTCAGGCCCATATTGAACCAATTCAATCAATATAAATAGGATGAAATGAAAAACTGTGTATACATATATTCCATTTTATTTGTAGCTTCATATTCAGAAACTTATTTAACGAAGGTTTAAATACTTTTTAATTCTAGAAGAACAATAAAGTTGCTTACTTCAGAATAAAATTCACTGGCCAATTTTAAATAGGTCAAATCATTGTTTATCTCCCCTTTTTGCTATTTCAATGTCACCAATGCCCTTTTCTTAACAAAACAGTAAATGCAATTGTTGACACATTAACAAAACAAAAACAACACTGACCTGACATTAACTTGTGAGTAAGCACCATATTATATTGCTGTCCAGTAGTATAAACAAAAATCTATAAGAAAGAGAATAGTTTTGACATTGAGTCTGAGACGAAAGATATAGAATCTGGTAGAATTCATTTTTTATGTTTCATAATGAGATTGCTGTACTGGATGAAACTGAACATTGTACAACTCTTACTTCATGACGGTTGAGGCTTAAATTTTTAAAACATTTAAGAAAGGAGATCTCATTCTAAAGATTTTTCTATATAGATGGAAAAAAGCTTTGCATTGGCAATTTCTTATTATCTTAGCTGAATAAAACAGATATAAAGAGATGTCCACTACTAAAATATGGATGTAAGGAAATATGATAAAACTTTAAAACAATATTTGTGCTATTGATGAAGGGAAAAAAATATTCAGATCTAGGTAAAACTGGATGCCTTTTATTTCAACCTCACACAAAATTAAATTTTATATTACATTTAGACATTCAGCTTCATGCAATTAATCGTAGCAATGTTATATTTGTAGCTGTTAAATTGTGAATGATATGGTATACAGATAACAAAATATTCCTTAAATTATGAAATAGGACATATACAACAAAAATACTAATATATTTGTGGTGATCAGAAAATTGACAAAATACTAATCTACCATTCTATGTACATATCTTACAGACATAAAATAAACAGCATTTATACATGATTTGTAGGAGCTTAAATTACATAAAAAAAATCATAAACCTTACAAAGCAGATGTGTGAAAAAGATCTGACAATACACATGCAACAAAAAACTGTCTTCACAATATTATTTTTGCAGCCACAGGCCAGACACTCATTTTTTGGAAAATTTTGTATGGATTCTATTGACTTGCAGTAAAAATTCTTACAGGCTGATTAAAAATTAACAAGCCTTACCTTCTACGCCTGCGTCCAAGTGTGAAGACAGAAATAGCATCAAGCTATAACTCTTGTGGTATTTAGATGTTTCAAAAAGATTTTTATAATTTTTAACAGCATATGGAAGATTATATTTAAAAGCATCACTTTTTTTTATAAAAAATATTCAGTTAATTTTCATATTCTTAATTGAGGACTTTTTCTTTATTCAGACCTGCCAACTTTCCTGCTTTGTGTGGGAATATCCCCAATGAAAGGTGTTAACCTTACCCTTACAATACTCAATTATCTAGACTAAACACTTTAAAAAGGCATTCAGAGGAGTAAAAAATACATTTAAACACATGTATATTCATTCTAAACCACAGAGGTTCTAGAACACTAATGACATATATAGGTATGCATTAAATCCTCTTGTGCCAAAAATCCCCAATTGAGATTTTGAAAAGTCAACAGGTGTTTATTACGAAATTATAATGAGTGTAAATCCCCTTTTTGCCATAGATTATTTTACAATATTTATTATGTATTCGTGTCTAACAAAAAGGGTAGAGGTTGTTTAACCATTGTTAGCTGAACCCCATGGTACATACATACAGCTCATCCCCAGGAACTTTTCACACAATGCACATGTTATTTAAGTGTTTAATTATTACACGATGCCCTCCATAAAACTTGTGTCTAAATTTTGGATTAATGTTCTGATAAAACCCATTTCCTTTCTTGTGTTCTCAAATATCACTTGCGGTTCTAAACTTTCACATCGTAAACAATTTGGTGCCATGACCATGGCTAAATTATTAACGTCCATTTTCGTTACTTTTGAATTGTCCTCAGCAGCAAATACCTTGAAAATAAAAGAATAAATAAATTTTTTTTTATGATGCATGAAAATGACAGGAAAAAAATTCCTACTTCTAACATAAACGACAACAATAACCAAAGACATCTACAGGTCAACACAGTCTTAACAATAGACACTTGACTAATTAATATGTGAATCTCTAAACCGTCCAATGTTTAATCAATATGTGAATCTCTAAATGGTCCAATGTTTAATCAATATGTGAATCTCTAAATGGTCCAATGTTTAATCAATATGTGAATCTCTAAACGGTCCAATGTTTAATCAATATGTGAATCTCTAAGCAGTCCAATCATAAATAAATAACTAGAAATTATCAAAGATCTGATGCCAGCACCAAATTCTATAAATAACAAAAACTTTGATTTCACAAAGGACAACCATTGACAAGGTTCCTCACTTTGAACTGGCACATGAATATGTAGCAAGGTTTAAATAGGTTGTGTGTTGCTATGTAAAACATCTGGTATATCCCATCACCAATTTCGGATAGTGCCTGCACCAAGTCAGTCATATGATAGTTGATATCCAAATGTACATCTTTTTGGTATGCAACAGTGATGACTCTATACTGCTAATGATTTACTACAATGATTTGTATATTTTGCCAAAGAATTTAGACAGAATCAAAATACATAAGTTTTTTATATTTCTTCTTCTGATCTTCCCATGCAACATTTAAGAGACAAGAGCTTAGGAGCAATCTTAAAACTTATACATTTTCATTTCAAAGAATTTAAAATGTTATAAATAGGAATACTTTTGGGTTCTGGAACACTTGCACTTAACGAATTTGTAAAGTTGTCTCCACTTGCCTGTAGAAATTGTATCAATCCTTTTTGCTACTTTCGTTAAGAAAATATATTTAAACTAGAAATCTTATAAGATAAGCTAGCTCTGATCTGTTCATATCTGGAAATTTATTTACTACTTCTTTTTAAATCTGCAGAGTTATCTCCACTTACCTGTAGAAATCGTATAAGGTATGCTAGCACTAATCTATTTATATCTGGAAGTTTATTAACAACTTCTATAGCTTCTTCTGGATTCTGGAAATTTTCTATACATTCTTCATAGAACTCTGGGGGAATTAATGGTTCCTGAAGTTCTCGGTACCATAATTTTAATAAGGATGCAGGAATGTGGGGATCTGGACAGTCTGAAGGGATTATCCACTGATCACATTTAATCTTTAATGCGTTAACTTCATCGATATCACCTGGAACTCTGTAATATCAAATTATAGAATATTAAAACGTCATTACTTTGATTATTTACATTACATTATTACTAAAAGAGTGGATAGTGTGAAAATACACAATTAACAGTGCCTGGTGGTGATTTGTTTTTCATAATTTCTTCTGTTATGTAACTGCATTAATAATTATCTAAGTCGAACATGGATAATTGCTTCATATTATTATCACAAGCCATAAATCAGGTTGGATATTTCTTGTAAAGTGCTAAATAATTGGTTATTTAAAGTCATTAGAATAAATGTGTTATGGGTTTTGTTCATTGTTGAAGGCTGTACAGTGCCTTTTAGTTGTTGATTATCCTGATAACAGTTGTCATTGGCAATCATACCACATCTAGTTATCTTCAAATTAGAGACCTCTTCATGTCAAATTTCTCTATATTGCTGAAATTTTATTATCAATTTAATAAAACATTTAATAGTAAGTACTGCATCAATTTTTGTTAAGATTTTTTAACAGCAACAGCAACAGACATTCAACATGTAAGTTTATAACCACTGGACACCAGTACTATTGGTAAAACATATAGTATTTTAATGAGAAAACCATTTATATTTAAATTTGTTGTATTCAGTTAACAAACTTGATTAATAAATAGAGTGACTCAGTCTCATTTTTCAATATAAATATATGTATATATATTTCGTTTGTGTATATATATATATATAATATTATCCAACGCAATCATAGGTTTGAACGTTGTTTTCAATTTAGACTTGTTTATATTTTTTCGTTTGGGCTTGTATTATATTTGCCTTCGGGTTTATATGATCCGTTCATCCTATTTTGACTCTTTCAAAATTCAAAAGTCTATCCTAAATTGAGGTAAATTCTATGGCCTTCCAAATACCGTTTTGATTCCTAACATCACTGAAGAGACATTGTCGAAATCCGGATATGGTGTACAAATTTTTGCACCTCATGTTTGCGGTATACCATCTTTTCCGCAAGTTTATTGTTTTCTGTTTGGTAATAAATTAATAATAAGATCTATTTTGTTACATCTTGTGATCCGTTTATTTGGCATCGCCAATGGCAGTCAGCAGGGTTTAAGAACATCGGTTGTTCGAACTGCTAGTCAAATGCGTTTTGTTAAAATATACTTCTTCACTCGTTTGGTCTTTTGAAAATGGTTGTTTGTGCTGTATTAAGACCCCTCTACCAAGAAATTTGTTTTGCATGCACACGTATAAAAATTGCGGTTTTTATCAAAGCAATCATAGGTTTAAACGTTGTTTTCAATTTAGACTTGTTAATATATATAATATTGATTGATTGGTTGGCTGTTGTTTGCTTTTGAAATGTCAAAAGGCATATATATGATGCACATTCAGGAAAAGAACAAAATGAAGGCTTGTTGGATAGTATGGTTTGGGGGATTCCAGTTAGGGATGTGTAGAATACATTATTTTTAAAGAAGAAATAAAAGAAAATGCTACTTCCATGAGGTTTGATGGCCCTGGGTCCCCTTATTTCTTCTTATTTTCTTCAATCAATTAAAACGTCTATTCAATCAGTATTTTTATGCAGTTTTAATTAAAATATATTCAAAGAAATATCTATCTTTAATCCTTCAGTATAATTTTCATCTTTTGAATTGTAGCATTAGGAAGAACTTGGATTATGTATTAAGTCATCTTAGATTATGTATTAAGTCAGGAATGCAATCAGTAATTTTTCGTCAACAATTTTTCATATGATGCTGGTCTTTTCATAAAGCTTAAAATTCTTCAAAAATTAAATGTTTTGAATAAATTGAACAATATTTTACAAATTATGACTATTCTACTTTTGAAATGTATAATGTATAAGAATATTGGACATTTTCCTACTAGTACCTACAAAGGTTTTGATTTAAAAAATCCTTTTTAACTTCCTCCTAATGAAAAACATGATTACTGCATTTGATAAAAAATTATAAATAGCTATATTTGAACTTTTATTGTATTCTACAATCAGTTATATCATGTATTCAAATTCTTATACAAAGGAAATTATTTTTTTCATAGAAGTAATGCAAATGACTTTGTGTGGGTTGATTCATCAATTGTTTGAAATTTCCGTCTCCAGAATTTAAATGTAAAAAAGTGTGTTTGTACAATTTACATCTTTCTATAGAATCTAAAATAAAAGTTCTACTGTATGTTGAATGTAATCCTTAAGTTGATATAGTTTGTAGTAGGAGTACATCTTTGTTTTGAATCAATTTTATCTGGAACCATCTTGTGGATTTTTATCCTCATCTTTAAGTTCTACAAATGTATGTTCCTTTAAATAAATCATCTGTGTAGAACTTTTCCTTATGCCCACAGACCCTAGCCTGGTTTTGTCTTATGAAGTTGTATAATGATGAGTTACAGTTGAATTCGTGTTTTGTTCTTGTTGACTAATTCTGACAAAATATTGGAATTAAAAAAAATAAATGGGAATGTGTCCATGGGACGCAGATGATGCCCCTGCTTGCATATAAAAAGGGACATAACTCAAGAACTGTAAAAATGACGCTACCCAAATTTGTACTTGATCTGAGTTTTGTGGTAATAAGTATTGTGTATAAGTTTCATAACATTTGGTTGAGGCAAACTAAAGTTAGAGAACAGAAAAGAAAAATTCAGCAATTTTTCCATTTGTAAAGGGCATAACTCTAGAACGGTAAAAGTGACACCACCCAATTTCAAACTTGACTTGTGTTTTGTGTTAATAAGCATTGTGTATAAGTTTCATAACATTCGGTTGAGGCAAACTAAAGTTAGAGAACGGAAACCAATTTTGGACGTACGGACGGACGGACGGACGGACAGACAGACGTACAGACAGACAAGGGTAAAACTTAATGCCCCCTCCGCTACGGCGGGGGTATAAAAAATCATAAAATTATACTGCAGAATTCTTTTGTCATACCTGCATATACACCCACATCTAGTGATTTAGATTTTCTCTCAAAAAGTTCTTTCTTGTACTCTTTTCGCCTTCACTGAACAACATTATATAAATTATTACTAGATTTTTTGTACCTAAATATTCCTTCTGTTTGAGCACCATTTAACCTCAAAACTTCCTCTGAAAGTGTTGTCTGTAACCAGGGCAACTTTCTGTCTGGAAATCTTTCATTTTGAAGGGCTAGAATTTCTTCTAAAGTACTTCCAAACATAGATGGATTAAATATTGATTTCTGAAATAAACATATATACAGTTTTGAGTATAATCTTATAACAAAAGTCATGCCAAATCTGTACTATTTTAAGGTGGTCAGTTCTATTTTATGGTGATTTGTACTATTTTATGGTGGTCAGTTCTATTTTATGGTGATTTGTTGAAGTATTCTATGGTGGTCAGTTCTATTTGTATAGTAAATTTTATGTGTAATACAGTGATTGGCAATTGTTCGATATATATAAAGTTGTTAATTTGGGTAGGAAATATTATTTCGAAGAGCTGTTGGTGCTTACTATAGTACACACTAATTGCTGAAGATTACACAAAATCTCTTCAAATGCATTTTGAATGATATCTATAGCTTGGTTCTTTCTCACCAACATATATTTTTTCCCCAAAGGCTACTATTTGACTAATCAAAAGTTTTATAGTTCCATGTAAATAACACATAACATAATAATGTCTAAAAGACAGAAGAGCTACCTTAGCTTGTTCTATTTCATCAATGTTTGGCTTCCTTTGTCCTTTCTTTGGCCCACTTTGTACCATTTTCTCTAAACGTTTATTACATTGTTTTGCAAAATGACTGATTGGTATCTGTAAATATCAAAACAATTAACTATTACTACAATTTCTAAAGTTTGTGGCAGCTTTAATGCAATGCTTAGCCAGGTATTATAAAACCTTTCAAACCAAATGTGCTTTGAATAAATAGTCTTGAGCAGGAAACACAGTTAATTCCAAGTGCTGTGATTGGTAGCTTATTCACAATAGAAAACAAACAAAATGAGTATGGACAGAATATCAAGCAAACAAAAGAAGAATGGACACAGATGCCCCCCCTTGTAAATATAGGGCAAATTCAGCAATTTTGCAATTTATAAAGGAACATAACTCGAAAACAGTGAAAGTGACGCCACCCATATTCGAACTTGATCTAAGTTCGGTGGTAATAAGCATTGAGTATAAGTTTCATAATATTTGGTTGAGGCAAACTAATGTAAGAGTGTGGAAACGTCAAATTTAGCATTTTTTTTATTTATAAAGGGACATAACTAGAGAACAGTAAAAGTGACGACACTCAAATTCGAACGTGTATAAGTTTCATAACATTTGGTTAAGTCAAAGTAAATTTGATTGAGGAAACACTAATTTGCCAATTTTTCCATTTATAAAGGGACATAACTTGAGAACTGGGAAAATGGTGCTACCCAATATTCAAATTTGATCTGTGTTTGGTGGTAATGAGCACTGTGTATAAGTTTCATAACATTTAGTTGAGACAAACTAAAGTAAGAGAATGGAAACTAATTTTGGGACGTACAGACAGACAAGTGTAAAACTTAATAATGCCCCCTCCACTGCGGTGGGGGCTTAAAAAGCTGGTGATAGTGATAAAAGTTTTAATAAACATCAAGAAACTAAGTGATATTGCAGAAAATGTTTGAAGGGGACTGAAATTTTACAGACTTCTAAATTTGATGACTCCAGGCCTGACACCTACAAAATTATTTCCAATAGAATAGCCTTAACAAGTAATGTTACTGAAGAAAACTATTCAATTATTTTATACAAAAACTATACATGCTCTCTACATATAAATCAATGTCTAGTACACCATAAAAAAAATTACACATGCATTTAAAGCTTTCAAATGTTCTCAAAAATCATGCCATTTTCTTTTTCAGTGAAAACATTATATGGAACAGACAACATATATGTATATTGTAAAATCACTAAGGTGTAAAGGTATAAAGAGAAAGAATGTGCTATGTCTCAAAATGTTTTTTCTTTCTTACAAAATATGATACAACAAAAAGGCTGCAACTATTTAGATAGGACATGAAGAGTCAAGAGGTGAACTGCTTCAGTGAATTATATTCAATAGACAAACATTTCTCTGTGAATGTGAATAATTCACTTACTGTGGATTCTTTATTTTCATGGTACCTGTACCAATTATCATGCATGTAAGGTGGATCATTGGTATAGATTTCCTCAGATACAATTTTTTTATACTTTGCCAGAAAGTAGATTTTTACATGCTTTTTTCAAAAGTATAGTAAAAAGTATGGGTCACCGTGCTATTTTTCAAGTAAAAAGTCGTGCAAAATTGCCCAAATTTGCATAGATTATTCATAAAAAAATACTTTTTTTGTAAATAAAAAGAAAGCTATAAGATAGAATTTTGAAATAAAATATGAGAAGATAGGTTTTATAATATGCTTTAAGAAAATATAAGGAAAAAATAGTGTCACCGACCTTGTTTTCTTGCTACAAATAAAAATTGCAAATTTCTCTATCATTCCTTTATAAAAATGTTCCAACTTGAGTTATCTTCCCTTAAATGGCTAAGTTGACAATTTGATTCGAACAAACACAAATATTTGGTATCTGACAAATCAGTCTGATTAATGTAATAAATCAATGATTTTTCTTTATTCCAATAAACAATCTAACCACTCATTTGCCAATCTGTCACAAAATTTGCAGATTTAAGCAAAGAACTAGACCTATTGTGAACTGCTATTTTACAATCCAGAAGGCAATAAGTATACAGTTAATCTACCTTAAGAAAAATTGAATTTTCTTGGATATTTGATATCATGGTTTTGCCAAAGTCTGCATACAAGCCTATTAAAAATTTGCACTTTGCTGAACATACAAAAGGACAAGGTACGATAAGGCCTGTTTTTGGCCCCCCTATTTTCTCATTTTCTAAATTTTGTTTTGGAAAGCTACTTATCACGTTAAAATACTCCCTTAGGTCTGAAGTTTGTTTGGATGAACTTCAAAACCATTAATTTCTGAAAATGGGTGAGGTTAGGGGGGTAAAAAAAGCATCAAAAACGTCAAAAGAAGGAAAAATAACGATTTTTGGCCATTGTTTCTTAAAATTTAATAGCGTGCGCCTACGTGACCTGGAAAAAATTATGGCGATTTAGACAGCAAAAACAGTTCTCGTGACCTTGGAATAAAAAAATTCCTGGGTCACATTGGCGCAGGCACTAAAAAAATAAAAATTTGTTGTAAAATCACCTGCAAAATGAATAATAATAACAATATTTGAATCATAACAGAAAGTTAACCCCCCTCACCTCACCCAGTTGCAAAAATTAGTGGTCTTGAAGTTCATTCAAACAAACTTCAAACCTCAGGGAATGTTTTAACATAATAAGAAGCTTTCCAAAACAGAATTTGAACAAGAGTGCACACACTGAAATGTCTCGACTACTATACTGACCATTGATTTTATGTTGATAGTCCTACATATAAAGTTTTACTACAAGTATCACATTAACATTTATGATCCAAGAAAATGAGGTCAAGGTCAGATAAACCAAGCCGGAAATACATGTACACCTTTAATACAATCCCTCCATACACAGAATATAGATGACCTATTGCTTATAGTATAAAAGAAACAGACCAAACCATGGAAATTCTATATTGACCAATGAACCATGAAAATGAAGTCAAGGTCATTTGAACCCTGCCAGACAGACATGTACACAATAAAATCATTCCAAATATAGTTGACCTATTGCTTAAGGTATCTAAGAAAAAAAGTTAACCAGGAAAACTGAACATTGACCAGTCAACCATGAAAATGAGGTAAAGGTCAGATGATACCTGCCAGACAGACATATACACCTTACAATCATTCCATACACCAAATATAGTTGACCTATTGCTTAAAGTGTAAGAAAAACAGACCAAAACACAAAAACTTAACAAAGCAATGAACCATGAAAATGAGGTCAAGGTCAAATAAAACCTGCCAGACTGACATGTTCATCACTGAATATTTCCATACACCAAATATAGTTGACCTACTGCATACAGTATTAGGAAAACAGACCAAAACACAAAAACTTAACATTTAGCAATGAACCTTGAAAATGAGGTCAAGGCCAAATAAAACATGCCAGACTGACATGTACATCATAAAATATTTCCATACACCAAATATAGTTGACCTACTGCATACAGTATTAGAAAAGCAGACCAAAACACAAAAAACCTAACATTGAGCAATGAACTGTGAAAATGAGGTCAAGGTCAAATAAAACTTGCCAGACTGACATGAACATCGTGAAATATTTCAATACACCAAATACAGTTGACCTATTGCATACAGTATTAGAAAAACAGACCAAAACACAAAAACTAAACTATGACCACTGAACCATGAAAATGAGGTCAAGGTCAGATGACACCTGCCAGTTGGACATGTACACCTTACTATCATTACATACACCAAATATAGTAGACCTATTGCTTATACTATCTCAGATATGGACTTGACCACGAAAACTTAACCTTGTTCACTGATCCATGAAATGAGGTCGAGGTCAAGTGAAAACTGTCTGACGGGCATGAGGACCTTGCAAGGTAGGCACATACTAAATATAGTTATCCTATTACTTATAATAAGAGAGAATTTAATATTCCAAAAAATCTGAACTTTTTTTTCAAGTAGTCACTGAACCATGAAAATAAGGTCAAGGACGTAGGACATGTGATTAACGGAAACGTCGTAACATGATGCATCTATATACAAAGTATGAAGCATCCAGGTATTCCACCTTCTAAAATATAAAGCTTTTAAGAAGTTAGCTAACACCGCAGCCGCCGCCGTAGCCGCCGCCGGATCACTTTCCCTATGTCGAGCTTTCTGCGACAAAAGTCGCAGGCTCGACAAAAATGAGAAAATAGGGGGGCCAAAAACAGGTCTTATTGTACCATGTCCTTTGTTGTTCACCTTTTCCAACAAAATCCAAGAGAACTGGTTTCCCATGAATAATAATGAATCCACAGTTTTCATGACAGTGTCAATTTGTAACTGAAACATCTACCTGAATAGTACCAATGTGATCAAATTTCCAAAAGTAAAATGAAAGTTAGCACATAGATCTAGTAATGTCCTTAAAATAATGTTCTTTTTTGTTTACATATACAAAGACAGTGCCTATGTAATTTTCTTTTTACTTTTAACAGGTTTCATTGTTTTTATTGTAATATTTTTTGTTTGTTTTAATAATGGACAGCATTTTGAGACACAATTTCTCAGTGGGCTGATGTTAGTAGGAAGAATGTTATAATTACCAGATTTCCATCAGCCTGACTTACAATCAAATCGGGAAATTCATCATCAGTATCAATATATCTTGAAATATAACCCTCTAAATACGTTTTAAATTTTACAGTTGGAGGAAAAAAGTTTAAACAAACTGCCATTAATTCCCAGCCTCTCTGTAAACTTTCTCTGAAATAAACAACACAGATATTTCAAGTTCCTTTCTCCATACAACATAACATATACTATTTCAAAATATGATTTTCTGATCCAGCTTTCTTATAAAATCCTTATAACTGTGAATAGATGGGATACATATAAAAGTATATTGTAAATGGTAACTTATCATACATTTTCTGTTTCTTATCATTAACTAGTAAAACATGTAAAACTATCTGCACAAAATTAATATCAAATATCAAACCTTTTCCTTAACTTATAAACCCTTACCCTCCAATTATTCAATGTAAAGTACTTACAACTTAGGATTGTCTGTTGTCTGTTTGCAGAGTTGCATATAGATTTCATCCCTGAGTGCAACACAGTGCCAGCCTTTGATGATGATTTCCTGTGCATTACTGATTTGTGTCCCTTTGCCCTTTCTGTCAGCCATATACACTTGTATAAGTACAATAGTTAAGGAAGTTTTCTCCTCATAATATTAATTATACAATAAATTATTTCATAGGAAATGTTTTACATAAATGCTGTATTATACATAGTCCTTGTCTACTTACATTGACAAATCACTTAACTTCAGTATACCTTAAAAAAAGACAGTACAAAAATTTAAAAAAAGATTCCAGTGAAGAAAGTACTTAACAAATAGTGCAGACACTTATCTATAATGTTGCAGACCATATGTTGAACCACTTCAGTAGTTGTTTAGTTGTTGTATGTCATATCTTAATATTTCGTGATTTAAAAAAAAAAAATGGGTGTTAATCAAGGCTTCGAATACAGTCATATTTGCCAGACAAATATAAATTTATAAGACATAGTCCGACTGGAACAAGCATCGGACATCCTACGTGGGTTTGCCATTTGAACGTTCATGTAATTCAGAAAAATCAACCATTCTGACTTGACCTTGTTCCTTAAACAGCCACACTTTTCTGTCATTAAAGTGACAGTACTCTAACACTGTAAATTGCAGATCTTTGATTGCTTCTGTTATATTTATTCACCCCTTTCATACACTAGTGACAATTTAGAACTTGACATATTGGTCTAGATCAATAAGAGAGCAACCAAATGACAAAAAAAACAAAAAACAAAATGAAACCTTAAGATAAATAAAAGGAGATGGGGTATATGTTAATAAGACAACAACCCATCAACTAAAAATAACCAACATTCCCCTAAAGAGCAACATAGGGTCTTAAATGAAAGACAGGTGTCTATACCAACATCTTCTTTTTTGATAGCTGTGTTATTCATGTGTATGTGTAAAATTAATTTATTCTGTGGTCTATGGATAGTAATAGCTGGTAAATAATTCATCATTTAATGGATATTAATATTTCATATATTTTATATATATAAACAAAAATCAATGTTAAGCAATGACGGAACTCAAGGTTGATGTTTTTGGTAAAAACAAAGTATATATGAAGACAGCATCACTTTAAGAGTATAAATAAACAAAATCCAACATAAAAATGATTATGCTGATATTTACCCCCACTCTTATTATATAGTTCTACAAAAAGGATATGTCTAAAGACTTCACAGGCATCTTTCTTGACACCTTTATCTTCTGTCCTCAGTATAGGCTTTTGTATCAGATCCTAAAAATAAACAAATTTATTGAATATTTAAAAAAAATAAAATAGTTGAAATATTGCTAAAATTGGCTTTTTACAATACAATAAGGGCTGTTCTAGAATTAAACACTGGGGAAGGGGGCATAGGAAGCACCTTTTTAGACTTCAACAACCCATAATACAAAATTATCATTTTACTTATAATTCTTACAAAATCCTATGGAAAATATAACTCCCAACCACTGGCAATTAGTTAATTTAAGTGCCTCTCATTCCCTGTCACACACGCGAACAGCCATAATAATTATTTTTCTAAAACAATAAAAACATAAAGATCTCACTTGAGGTGCATCATTATGTCATGACCAGATCCATATTAGATAAATAAATATATATAAGGTTTGTTTTAGTAGGCATCTAGCTTTGATAAAATAGGTTTCATCAATCCAAAGATAAACTGGCACGAGAATCTTTTAAGCCAAGAATCAATTCTTGACAACAGAACAAACATGATGGTAAACATTTCATCTCAGCAAGAACTACTCCCTGCAACGTAAGACTTACAAATGAAAGAATAAGTTTCACAGTTGAATAATTCTTAAACAAACTCCATAAAGAAAACAGGAAACGTTATACTAACCAACTGAAAGACATGTCTTTGTTTTAAACTGATATAAACAACAGCATCACTTTCATCTAACGGTTCATATTCAACAAACAAACAGTCACAGACATTTCCCATCTCCAACAATCAATGCTAATTATATCACATTTTTCAAAAATGCACTACATGAACAGTGTGAATAGAACTTTCCAAATTTAATTAATTTTCGTGTGATTAAACAAATGGATGATGATATTTTTTAACTTCCTGTTGTCTATATTTTTCAATAAAACAAAATGTAGATGAGGAAGAAATTATTGATCAATTTATTGGGGCACAATAAGGTTTTTTGGTTTTTTTTTTTAAATAAAAGACTTTTTTTGCAAACAGATAGTAACAGTATTTTTAGTCATGGACTATAATGTTTATCAAAATTCAAAAAATTCTTTATCCATATACAAAGGTAGAGAAACTTTTTTACTACATTTATGTCATTGTGTTTGACAGTTCAGTGCTAAAAAAATTTTTTTTTTCTCAAGAATTCAAGTAAAAAATCTTTTAAAAACCCTTATTTTCCCCTCCATTTAAATTCTTTAAACTATCCATTGATATATGATATGCATCTTCTAATCATAGTTGGGATTAAAATTACAAAATACAACAATAAAATATATTACGTCAATGAATAAATATCCTGTTTTTTACATGTATTTCAGCCCTGATCATCTTTCACATATATATAAAACTGTGTAATGTAAATAACTACTTAAGTTTAATACAATAAAATATGTATATTTTTGAAGCGCTCTTAAATATCAGGTATTTAATTCATTTAAGCAATGTGATTCCTTTTACATTGAAATACAATTTTTATCCACATAGATAAATTTATATTAAATTTGATTGCTTATAATGATCCAAAAATCACTTTAACATATTTATAAAAAATACTTGTTTTATCTGCAGTTGATTTATTCTATTTTATCATAATTGTTTTTAATTAATTACAAAGTAAGTTTTAAGTTAAGGACACTTACAACATTTAAATGTTTGTGTCATAGATGAAACATCTACAGCTCTTGGTGTGGTATACTGCTAGTCAAACTGATTATAAGAGCTTTTGAAATTTTAAACTGTCGTATTTTGAAGAAAAAAAATTCTTTGAAAAAGCAAGAAATACTTTTGTCTTTTCCCAACTTCGCTGTTTTAGAATCTAAAAGACTATGGGTAATCTCATTGTTTGTACCCCAAAATTAAATCTCATTTCATCATTGGTCAAAATTTCCACTGTTTAAGACATTTTCAACCAATCTCAACGTTTTTTTATACTTTTTTGAAAATATAACCCAAAACGCATTAGATTCTGATAAAAGCAAATTAGCGTATGTAACGCAGAAGAGCAAAATTTTGGACATTGAAAGCAAAATGTGGTAAAATTGAAGAACCTGACTGATCTGATCTATTGTCTTACATATATAATAATGGTGAAAGGTGTAAGAAAATTTTGTAATATTTTTACCATTTCTATCATAAGAACATGGCTCTTTTTCCAAGGTGGGTGTAAAATCTTTTGAAAGGGGTAGGAAAAGGTTCACTCCAATTCTACACTCAACTAAATTTTTCTAACTGTTACTTCACCTTTTGCCAAACCAGCATGGCTTCATATGAGATTTTCTTTCCAAACAGTCCCTTTTTATGTCTGTTCATATAGTTCTCAATGTCTGTTTCTGAATGAAGTTTCTGTTTCTGCGACAAAGGACTAGCAGATCTGATAGGTGGTGCTGTTCCGGCACGATTCTGAAATCATAATATTTTGTAACAAAATTTTAATATATTTTATTATAAATTTAGATTTACAAGGATACCTATGGTATGATGTGACAATTTTTTATTGTATTTGTCTGTTTTTTTGTTTTTTTTTATATTATTTAATACATGTACCTCAAAAGTCATGACAGTGATTTTTATAATATCTATTATTTCAAAAGCCATGACAGTGTTTCTATAGTCTCTTATATTTCAAAGGATGATACAATATTTTTATAAGAAAGCTAAAAAATTAAAATATAACTTTTTAGTTATTAGTCATATAACTAGTGCGTTTTGGTGTATAACTTAATTTATCCATTTGATCAGATTCTATCAAATTTTAACAGAATGAAGAAATGGGCCCCCTCATTGTTGTTCAGTGAGATATTAGTATTGTCTGTGGCCCCAACATGGTCAAATCCCACCTGTGACCTTGCGACATATAAAAATTTTCAAAACTGAGAATCACATCAGTATAGAACTGCATAGTTCGCTGATAGGTAACCATGTGACGTGAGGCAATTTTTAAACATGAACTTGTGACGTAAGAGGGTACCCTACTGGAGCTCTGTCTCTTTACAATAAGAGAGAAACAGTTGATGTCAATTTTAATGCATAGATGCCGTACCTATCCTTTGACAATGCAAGCTTGGTGGCATATTTTAGGTGGGTTAAGGAAGTAAGAAATGACTGATAAAGACGTAATACTGGCCTTTCAAACCTTATTTTTATTATATTATTTTTTATTATAGGCTTATTGTTTCAGTCCATGATTTAGATTTCCAAATGATACAAGTCTTATAAATCTACACTGAGAGCCTCTACTGACAGTAAATATGTCACAGGTTTAACTGTTTATTGACCAAATACTGGGACTTATAGATAAATTTGTCTCTGACTAATATGGAACTAGATGATGAATCTTATATATACTAACCTGTCTGTTTAGAGATCCTATACTGGGACTAATTGACACATTGGATTCTGACTTATATGGGAGTAGATGATGAATCTTAAACTAACCTGTCTGTTTAGAGATCCTATACTGGGACTAATTGACACATTGGATTCTGACTTATATGGGAGTAGATGATGAATCTTAAACTAACCTGTCTGTTTAGAGATCCTATACTGGGACTTATTGACACATTAGTTTCTGTCTGATATGGGACAACCATTGAAGCTGGTCTTTGTTGCATCATATCAGCTTGCATTGAATGACTTTTCTCCATTGCTGGACTGCCTGTAAGGGAATCTCCTTTCTCTGGCTTCTTCCTCTTTAATGAAGGATGATGGGATAGATCAAATCCTGGAGGTGAATCATTGACAGAATACATATTACTAGCATCCTCCACATCCTCAAAACTTTGGTTCAGTTCAACTGAAATAGAACAAAATTATGTCAAATATTATTTGGTAGAACTATACCCTACAGATTCATTTATTTTCATGGGTATCAAATTTCGTGGATTGTGGAAAACTTGCATTGTGGACATTTGGTTTCTTGGTTTTGTCAAAGTCAGCAAACAAGTCTATAAAAAAATTATAATTTGATGAACTTTTAAATTTGTGGTTCACCTGTACCCACGAAATCCACAAAAATGTGTATCCCAAGAATAATAATGTATACATATATAAAAATAAGGAGATGTGGTATGATTGCCAATGAAACAACTATCCACCAGAGTTCAAATGACAAAGATATAAGCAATTATGAACATTTACATATGAAAACTTACTAATTTGACCAAATATTGAGATTGAAACAGTATGTCCTTGCAAGCTCAATTTTGTCTGTGGTTCAGAAACAATATCGTTATTTTCCATCATCACAAAATGTCTGTGGTACAGAAAAATATTATTATTTTCCAACATCACATAAGAAAAACCTTGAAAATATTGTATGACTCTTACCTGATTTCATACAGATTGTCAAACTTGTTAATACTCTCATGACGCTGATAACAAAGTTATTAATTTCTTTAATTAACTGATTACTTCATAAAAAGGTGCAAGTTTAATGATAACATGAGATAACATGTGATAAACATATCCTAAATTAAGGAATTCCCAAATGAATAATTGTCCTTTCAGCTATTTTTAGAATTTTTGTCACTTAAGATAGATACTTTCACTTGAGATAAGTATACATAGTTTTGATGTATATGTATCAATACTTATATTTTTGAGAAATCCAAAGGGGTTTCACTCAGTAATATATATTTCCTGGTATATTTATATACTTTGGAAAATGCCTGCAAACCAAAAACTTCACTTAAAATGTCCCCCAAAAAAATGAAAGTATTAACAAAGAAGTACCTGTGTATTTTAAATTTTTCTCTCTGTGTTCTTTATATTGCACTTCAAAAACAGAATTAATCCAAATCAATACTGGGCCTTATTTGTAGAACAACTGCAACAGGGTTTGTCCAATTGCAATTGATCTATTCTTATCAGTATTTACTTAACATAAAATGCACTTTTTCACATTTTACTGCTGCACAATTTATTATTGTGTTTAACATAGGTCAGTTTCTATAAATATCTATATTTATGAGTACAACGAAACTAATGTACAGATATCTTTAGGTTTTTTTGTGTTATCAATCTTTCTACATGATTCATATTTATGTAAACTTTATTTTTTGCTGCATTTGTTATGTACAAGGATCACAGAATGCAATAAAGATAATTTTTTTTTTAAATCCAGGTTTTTTATTTGAAACAAATAACTGAAAGTGCTGTTGAATTTACAAATTATAAATTGTATGTGAATAAGTTATCAACACAGACAGGTGAGCTGAAATCACCCTATACTGTACTTATGTCATGATCAGGGCATTTATAGCTGACTATAAGGTTTTGCTCATTGTTGAAGACCTATGGTTGCTTAAATCCACCTCATTTGGATTTTGCAGGATAGCTGTCTCATTGGCAATCATACAACTTTTCCCTACTTTATGTTAGCATGTTAGTTAACTTAAGAACAATATTAATTGAATTGAATTTTATAAAAATCATGATGAATAAAATGTATGCTAAACTTCTGTTAAAGATTGTTTTTGGGCATGCGTGTGGTCTTTTAAATTTTATGTCTTTTTTTGGCATTGGTTTTAATAAAAACTTTCTATATTTATCTACTGATAGCTAAATACTTACAACAGTGTACAAATACATCAGATTTATTCCTTAGGACTATTTAATTTCCCTCTAAGCCTAACACTAATAACATTGTTTTTTCCCAGATGAGTTTCCTTTGCAACAAGAATATTGGTTTCAATACTTTGAAAAACATTTCCATAAACACTTTTCAGTTAGTACTATCTCGATAATAAAATTATATCTATCCGCGATATCTGCAATATTGCATTTTTGTGTGGTTTATCATAATTCCAACAAAGATATGGTCAACATTGGCCTTCAGGAGTTTTATCTACACTAGCCTATCGTCAGTGTATTAATAGAGAGCTAATACTTGTACAGTCAGTTCAAAATAAAATGTTCACTATAGGGAATCACTAGAAACAAATAGTGATTACTCCCAGTCCAAATATACCATTAAAACAGAATAAAGCCAGAATATGATCTGAACAAAAACCTTCCAGTTATTATACCAGGAATACAATAAGATGTTTCAGATGCATTATTGGTGTACAGTAAACACTCCACTTATTAGACATAACTGGTTTTATAAGATAAAGTAAATCGATCACAATATGCAATGTTTGCACTCACGATAACAAATTTCTTATCTTACACAATGTGTTGAACATTATAAAGTATAGGACAGTATTCCTGGGTATTTTAACAGCAACAATCACTGAAACAAAATATGCTTAGAAATCAATTTCATATTTTGATATTCTTTTGTATTTAGCCAAATTCTTGTATCTTTTGACAAGTTGTAATATTTGAGCAATAAATTATATACAATTTGTCTAGACATTAGTGATGTTTTGGTGGCTTTGGAGAAAAGTAAATCAATAACCATACATATTTATTATATAAACATCAATAGGAAATGACACTTAAGGCTTTGAATTGCAATCTACCAAACATAAAGAAAAGATGAGGAGATATTTCATCTGAATTAATTTCCCTAGAAATATTGTGAAAACAACCAAAGACAGTTCAGATAACTTGGCATTAATAATACTGTACATTTGTAAAACTTAAAAAGCATCTGATCTTACGCCCATTGGTCAGCAAACTCTGTTGAGATGAAAAAAAAAAGAAACCCTACTACTTTATGCACACTTCTTGAATTTGTGTAAACAAAAATAACTATGGCATCACTTTAAAATGCCCCCATTTAACCCAACCACCAACCTACCAACACAGCTGACTTTAAAATGCACTGTGATTAAAAATTTCATTTTTTTTTTATTATAAAAAATTTTGTATTTCAAAATAATGTTAAGAGTTTATAGAAGAAAATTGAGAATGAAAATACACACTAAATAATTAACCTATCTACCTATCCTAATTAGAAAAAGATAAGTTCTTATAGTCTATAGAATATGTAGACAATAAAATCATTCATCATGAAGACATTAATTATTCTTCCCATCACTGATTTCTAGATGTAATTCCTACAGATGCTATCACATAAGACATTCCATGATCAAATAGAACATCTTTGTTGATAATAAAGATCATAACGATATAAACAATACAAATAACATACCTTCTTGAGGAAAATTCTCAAAAACTGGAGCTGACCTATGACCTCTATTCATCAAGTGACCATACTGTTCATTTAACATACTAGGATCTAGCTGAAAGTCATGTGGGTAGTTTAATATCACTTTTTCCCTTGAATGCCTGTTTGGCTGAAAGTCTTCAGGATAATTCAAAATATTTTGGTTGTCTTTTAATACCTCCTTAAAATTTGTTGCGTCATTTAAGTTTGTAGGGAAACTAGGCGTCCGTTCACTTTGTGTTGGTACATTTGCATAATCAGGTTCCGAATCGTCCGAAACTCTTGAATCATGTGACAATTGACTGCCACTTTTCACATGTACAATGTCTATGTCACCAGCACTTTTATGTGAACCTCTAGATGAAATACTATCGTTAAATCCTTTCATTTCACTCTGTAATTGTTGCAGGCGCAAAGACCCATGTGAAGAATGCATATCTCGTAATGATCCTTGCGAAGATTGTGAATCTGATAAATCCCTATTGCGAGATGAGAACGAAGTCTGACTGTCAGCTCGCTCATGTCGCACTGCCCTAGTTGATGAATGTGACGTATCACTGTCAGATCTCTCATGTGGATGATAATAATGTCCTCCAACATAATCCCCTGGTGCAATTTGAATGTCTGATGGTACAAATGTCCCTGGGTCAGGAACAGAGGTAGGTTCATATGACACTGGCTGTTGTTCTACGTTTAATCTTTTGTAAGTGGTGCTTCCATTACGTTTTGGAACACCTACAAAAGATGGATTAGTACGTGGAAATGATCTTAGTTTAGGTTTTTGTGGAATGGGACTTGCGTGTCCCTGTTGTGCCACGATGTCTTGACTGAATGCTATACATTCTTGGTCTTTATTTGTAGGTAAGACTGGGCTATATAACCTATCATGTAGTTCTTGGGGAACACTGTTTTGGTTTGTAGAATAACCGAAGGCAGAGCTATACATCTCTGGATTTGGTGAACTGTAAGAGTCTGATCGGCTTCCATAGTCACTTCCGTGACGTTTAGATCTATTAGAATATGATAAGTCAGAGTCATCATGTGCTCGGATCTTTGCGTAATGTGGTTGTGAATCATCTCGACCATAATTTGTAAAACGGTAGCTATTTGATCTAACAGGTAGGGCACTGGGTGTAACTTCTGAAACAGATCGTTGCATTGAATGAGCTCGACCTGACCTTGGAGAATCATATCCTCGTGGAGACATTTCTGTAGATGATTCTCGTCTCAGTGCTGACGAGGACACCGGTGGACTGGAAGATGAATACCCTGCCTGAGTTGATTGAGATGACTGACTGCTACGTCTTCTGACATTCTCACCATTTACTGAAAGTTCCTTAAAGCTATCATGTCGACTAGAACTACTTTGAGACGAATTGGAATCCTGTCTGGAAAATCTTTGCTGAAAAATAAATCAGAACCAGTTAATATCAACCTTTACCTAAGAACTAAATAATGGGAATTACTGAACATGTACTAGAGAAAACTTTAAGTTCATTAGCTTTATAATTTTTCTCTCCATATTTTGATTTTTTTTTATAGATAACATTTAACTAGAAATATTTCAAGTACCTCAAATCATCATGATGTGATTTTAATACTTTATCTTTTATGAGCTTTGAGAGTGTGCAAATATCTTTTTTCTTAATTATTATTTTTAAAACTGTCTAGGTCTAAATGAATTGCAAACATACCATCATGATTAATGATGTCAATACATTAACAAAATTGTGATAGATTCTACAATACATAAATACAATAAAATATTAGACAAAACTTACTAGAGACAAATGGTCAAAGTTACAGACACCAACAAAAGACAGGCCCACTTTTCAAGCCACTAGACAACTTTCAAAGGAAGCAAATGTATTTTGATTTAAAATAGTTCAAAATCTAGGATAACTGATCTATTCTAATGTAAGCTCTTTTCCTTATAAAATTTAGAAATACTAATAGCAATCAGTAATTGAGGAAGCAAGGAAGCAAGTTTTATTGCCTTTTATGTTAGCGGTTAACTATAGTGATTATACATTACTTATTTTTCTGTAGCTATACAGATGTCCAATTTAATATAAGGAAATAAAAGATACATAAGATGTGCTTTTGAGACATAATTTTTTTTTCTCGACAAATTGCAAGGAATTATATCTTCTAGAATATACAGATTCTCAGCTTTATGAAACTTCATTTCTTCAGATTATTCACATACTGCTCTTCATAGAAATGCAATGCCCCACAATTTTGCATCAAGAACAAATACAGTCTATCGAGGCAGAAATAAACATATGTATACATGGATATCTTTATGTAGTTGTGTCTGAAGGATCACATTTTTTCTGCCCCTTTATCAGGAATTTCTGACAGTAGAGTTACTCATATTTGCTTACCATTTGTGACTTCCGCATGACAACATCAGAACTTTCTCCATACCAAGACATAATTTTCATCATTCACATTTAAATCTCTACTGTTTTGTTTTATAAAGCTTAACTTTTTCATGAATTTCACAACAAATGTTTTTCTTATTTCCTTGATTAACTAGACCATGAAATATTTACTTTTCTTAAGATTTAAATAACTAGAGTGTTTAATCTCTAATAATGTGAACATCATCAGCATACAATTTATGTCCTGATTTGTGATCTACTTCTTTAAGCTATTAAGCTGGTATGTCCTTAAACCAACATCTTATATTTCATAATTATAGAGATTAAATCTATTGTCGTAGCAACCATTTACAATCAAATAAATTAGGATATTATAAATGAATTTTAACCTGTTATATGTCTTTCTGAGTAAAAATTAAACTTTTGGTGAATTGTCAATGTCTTATCCCATAGATTATGAGTTAACATGAAGTCTAGTCACAATTTTCAATTTTGTAAATGCTTGATTCAGTGGTGAATTACAGCTAGGCTTTAAATACCTGCTGAAAATACCAAAACTCCTAGTGGAAATAACTACTTTGTAAGTCTCCCTTTACATTTTTAAAGAGCTTTCTAACTTGAGTTTTTCTTACTTATCTTTGAAAATTGGTTCTTTAATAAAAAAAATGTGAACGGCTATCCAGTATTAAAAGACTTATGTCATAATAATAAAACTTTAAAGTAAAATGAAATTAAAAAAAAATATCAAATCAATAATTCAGTACACTGAGACATATAATTTCTGGTAATGCAATTAGAAGTATCTGATGCCAAAACTTTCACCCACTGTCTATCACATTAATAACATTATTCTAACAAGCCAGTTTGGGTTATAATAGTACAGGGTTTGGCCGCTTGACAAGTGCTTATGTATTTTTATATGAATTATCATCATTTGTTGATGTTGATTACGATATGCATGATAAAACTACCTGTAATATACATGTTATCTTAATTACAAAGCATTATGTCATTAACTACAATCAATAAATATACTTTTCTGCCAAAAGTACTTATTTTGTATTGTTTGTAATATATTACATATCATTACTTGTTTTATAGTTATTAACCAAGAAAGGAAAGGGCCAACGATCAAAGAAATTAATCAGATATTGTAAAATGTTGGTTTTTTCAAATCATGCTTTCTACAAGATTCACGCCACCAGCATATAGCTAAAAATTTATTACCCCAACTCTTTGAATTCATCTTAACTCATCAGCTTGACATGAAGAACTGAAATCAACTAAAACAAAGTCACAAAGAACCAATCTAAGGGTATTGGCAGTTACTGAAAGCTAGTTCAAAGCCAATAAGAAGTAATAAATAAACCATATTCTCCCAGACTAAAGTATCAATCAGTACACATCCTAAGGATTTAGTGTAAAGATGACCTTGACCTGCAAGAAGGAATTCAACCTTATTTATGACAAATCCTCTGCAAATAGGAATTTCTACCTTATTAACAACACATCCTCTGGTAGTAGGCAACATTTATACTAGGTATCATTAACATCTCTAATGGCATTCAAAAGTTCTAAAGAGGACACTATTCAAAATATCTGGATAAGGGTAATTTAAAATTGAACCATGTTTGTGACCTTGACCTAGCAGAAAATTTGCCATCTTTATACGTGACACATCCTTTCGTATGTGGGAAGCAAAAATGCCAAGCTATGTTATACCATTTAAGGCATTAAACTGTTCTAAGCTGAGGGGAAAAAGCAAAGACAGCTGATGTCTCCAAAGGTTTTCCATTATTTTCATTTTAGGTCAGTGAAGGTTAAATATTATCAATTCTGCATTAATTGTAAAATGTCCTTGCTTCTGTGTACTTGGAATAAAGTCACTACCAAGTATGAAACTTTTCTTTTAAAAGGTCTCAGAGGAGTTGCATTCACAAAGTGTCATTGTGTTACAAGGGTAAAAATATTGCCAGTCCTATTAACTCAGGTAAGAATTGTCTTATCAAAATGATGGTACAATATAGTCAACTTCACATGATGACAAACAATCCTATGAAATTGCAGAGCTTCCTGTAATACAGTCTCAGAGAAATTGTCAAATCATACAGTATAGTATTGTCAAGAGAATATGATGACAAATAATTCCATCCAAGTATGCAATTTTCTGACAACCGGTCTCTAGGTATAGTTGTTGTTTCAGATTGAGGGACAGACAGAGGGAGGAGAACTACAAGTATATATCATCTGGCAGCAAGGAACAACAAAACTTGATTTAAACTGGACATGTGAATGGTCAATTTACACTAGTTTTCATATCAACAAAATCAGGATTTGAACCTACTATGAAGATGGTTAAAATAGACAAGATCCTGTAAGAACTGGGCAACTCGGGTAAATCAAGTATCTATTTTTACAGTCAAAATAATAATGAGTAATTTATTTATGTTGTCTACATTTAAACTAAAGTTACTATCCTGTCATTTTAAAGTCAATAAAAAGAAAATGTACAACTTTGTTAAGTTTTGATATTCTGCCCAGCAATGAGTTACCATAGAAGTCATCAATTAGACATTAAGAGGGTAATTGAAAATATAAATCAAGATCCCACTAAGTAATCATAATTGACCTTTATAGTAAAGATCAGTGACCTCTGCAGTGTTAAAGTTTAAAAGTGAAAACTATTTGTCCACAGTTGCCCAGTGACAATGCTTTATCATATATCTACTGTATACTGTATATAACAGGGTTTAAAAACATCAGTTGTTCGACCTGTTAGTCAAATGCGTTTTGTTAAAATATACTTTTCACTTTTTTGGTCATTTGGAAAATGTTGTTTGTGCTGTATTTAGACCCCTCTACTAAGAAATTTGTTTTACATGCACCCGTATAAAAATTGCGGTTTTTATCCAACGCAATCATAGGTTTGAACGTTGTTTTCAATTTAGACTTGTATATATATATATATATATATATATATATATATATATATATATATATACACATCTACATACGTACATATAGCCTAGTTGGTCCAGTGGTCTAGAGCGCTGGACACAGTGCAGGCCGTGTTGCCACAATGTCTCAGATGTAGGGGTTCGAATCCCCTGAGGGAAGATAACTAATTTGCTGATCTAACATTGTTGGGCTAAATTTGATACGAAGTATATATACATATATGTATATAAACCACATATAATACTGCAAAGAAAAGGAAAAAGGAACTAGAGGCTCTAAAGAGCTGTGTGGTTCACCTAGGTCTATGTCCATTTTCATCATTGTAGACTACTGTTTACAGTTTTTCTCTATCTTATTTAGTTTCTGCCCAAAACACAAAAGAAGTAACAAAATACAATCATTTAAGTGCTATCACTCCTATCTACTAACTTTTTCAGCAGAATTTGACCTGATTGAAGATCTTGTCTGGCAGATCATTTTAGTTATTCAAAGTTTCTATTTATCTTACATAGTTTTAAAGATAATCATGATAATAGGCAAAAACGATAAAAATTGGTAAAAATCGTCATTAAAGAGCAATAACTTCAATAACAAGTCAACTGAAGAATTCGACCATAAGACTTATTTGCAGATATTGTCTTTCTGATCACTTTTGCTGTTTAAAATTTCTCTCTATCTGTTGTAGTTTTTAAGATTTGAAGCAAAAATGCAAAACAAGAGTGCACACGCTGAAATGTCTCGCCTTCTTTACTAATCATTGATATTATGTTGATAGTCCTAAATATAAAGCTTTATTACAACTGTCACATAAACTTAACATTAACCAAGTAAACTAAACATTGACCAATGAACCATGAAAATGAGGTCAAGGTCAGATGAACCATGCTAGGCAGGCATGTACAGCTAACAATTCTTCCATACAACAAATAGAGTTGACCTATTGCTTATAGTTTAAGAAAAACAGACCAAAACACAAAAACTTAACACTGAGCAATGAACCTTGAAAATGAGGTCAAGGTCAAATAAAACCTGCGTGACTGCCAAATAGATCATAAAATATTTCCATACACCAAATATAGTTGAACTATTGCATATAGTATAAGAAAAACAGACCAAAACACAAAAACTTAACTATAACCACTGAACCATGAAAATGAGGTCAAGGTCAGATGACACCTGCCAGTTGGACATGTACACCTTACAGTCCTTCCATACACCAAATATACTAGACCTATTGCTTATAGTATCTGAGATATGGACTTGACCACCAAAACTTAACCTTGTTCATTGATCCATGAAATGAGGTCGAGGTCAAGTGAAAACTGTCTGAAGGGCATGAGGACCTTGCAAGGTACGCACATACCAAATATAGTTGAACTATTGCACATAGTATTAGAAAAAAAGACCAAAACTCAAAAACTTAACTTTGACCACTGAACCATGAAAATAAGGTCAAGGTCAGATGACACCTGCCCGCTAGACATGTACACCTTACAATCATTCCATACACCAAATATAGTAGACCTATGGCATACAGTATAAGAAAAACAGACCAAAACACAAAAACTTAACTATAACCACTGAACCATGAAAATGAGGTCAAGGTCAGATGACACCTGCCAGTTGGACATGTACACCTTACAGTCCTTCCATACACCGAATATACTAGACCTATTGCTTATAGTATCTGAGATATGGACTTGACCACCAAAACTTAACCTTGTTCATTGATCCATGAAATGAGGTCGAGGTCAAGTGAAAACTGTCTGACGGGCATGAGGACCTTGCAAGGTACGCACATACCAAATATAGTTGAACTATTGCACATAGTATTAGAAAAAAAGACCAAAACTCAAAAACTTAACTTTGACCACTGAACCATGAAAATGAGGTCAAGGTCAGATGACACCTGCCCGCTAGACATGTACACCTTACAATCATTCCATACACCAAATATAGTAGACCTATGGCATACAGTATAAGAAATACAGACCAAAACACAAAAACTTAACTATAACCACTGAACCATGAAAATGAGGCCAAGGTCAGATGACACCTGCCAGTTGGACATGTACACCTTACAGTCTTTCCATACACCGAATATACTTGACCTATTGCTTATAGTATCTGAGATATGGACTTGACCACCAAAACTTAACCTTGTTCACTGATCCATGAAATGAGGTCGAGGTCAAGTGAAAACTGTCTGACAGGCATGAGGACCTTGCAAGGTACGCACATACCAAATATAGTTATCTTATTACTTATAATAAGAGAGAATCTAACATTACAAAAAATCTTAACTTTTTTTTCAAGTAGTCACTGAACCATGAAAATGAGGTCAAGGACATTGGACATGTGACTGACGGAAACTTCGTAACATGAGGCATCCATATACAAAGTATGAAGCATCCAGACCTTCCACCTTCTAAAATATAAAGCTTTTAAGAAGTTAGCTAACGCCGCCGCCGCCGCCGCCGCCGGATCGCTATCCCTATGTCGAGCTTTCTGCGACAAAAGTCGCAGGCTCGACAAAAATGGTAAAAATTGTCACTAAAGGGCAATAACTCTAAAAAGGAGTCGACTAACGATTTCCACTATTTGCCTGATTTGATGATCTTGTCTTGCTGATCATTTTGGCAGTTTAAAGTTCGCTCAATAGTTGCAGAGATGATCTTTGTAAAAATTAACTGACGACGATAACGACGCCAGATGACAGATGCCAAGTGATGGGAAAAGCTCACTCTGCCCTGTGGGCCTGGTGAGCTAAAATAATTACATCATTTCTGCTATTTTTCCTTATTAAAATATTTTCAAAAATGTGTGACATTAGGAGATCATTTTACAAATATAATTTTTTCCTTATAATTGTTTTATATTACTTCCTCAGTTAAGTTCATTTTGTATTTACAAAAAACTTTTTTAGAATACAAAAAATATTGGCAATTTTAATTAAGATTCTAAATTTGAAATATAATGCTGGCAGAACCTGACATTACTGGAGGGACAGGCTTTACTTTTATTAATGACTAAAGGCACAAAAACAGGACAGATGACCATCAAATTCAAAGCAGTTCCAGACAAAAAACACAACGATAATGCAAATGCCATGAAACTACTACGTCTGGTTTCAGACCTGTGTTTCATAAAGAATATGAATTGAGAATTAATGTCATCTATAGATAAAATGGCCTGCTAAAGCAACAAATGAAGAGATCAATGAATATGTCAAGATTTCAGAAAAACAAAATTGATTTTAAATAATAGTCTACCAAACTTTGAAAGCATAATTGGACTGAACTTCATCTAGTTCACACTCTGGTAACCTACTTTGACTTTCTAATTTTGTTACACAGTTCAGCAGCAGAGTATACTACATTTGCATAAACTTTGGAAAAGTAAATGGCACTTCAAGTATTTAGCTTTTACTCCACCAGGGACATTACATTTATTAGAGTTTGGTAATGTAAAGGATAAGGAGTCCCATTCAGATGGCTGAATGTTTAAATCAGGGTAAAGGATAAGGAGTCCCCTTCAGATGGCTGAATGTTTAAATCAGGGTAAAGGATAAGGAGTCCCCTTCAGATGGTTGAATGTTTAAATCAGGGTAAAGGATGAGTCCCCTTCAGATGGCTAAATGTTTAAATCAGGGTAAGGATAAGGAGTCCCCTTCAGATGGTTGAATGTTTAAATCAGGGTGAAGGATAAGGAGTCCCATTCAGATGGCTGAATGTTTAAATCAGGGTAAAGGATAAGGAGTCCCCTTCAGATGGCTGAATGTTTAAATCAGGGTAAAGGATAAGGAGTCCCCTTCAGATGGCTGAATGTTTAAATCAGGGTGAAGGATAAGGAGTCCCATTCAGATGGTTGAATGTTTAAATCAGGGTAAAGGATAAGGAGTCCCATTCAGAGGTCTGAATGTTTAAATCAGGGTAAAGGATAAGGAGTCCCATTCAGATGGTTGAATGTTTAAATTAGGGTAAAGGATAAGGAGTCCCATTCAGAGGTCTGAATGTTTAAATCAGGGTAAAGGATAAGGAGTCCCATTCAGATGGTTGAATGTTTAAATCAGGGTAAAGGATGAGGAGTCCCCTTCAGATGGCTGAATGTTTAAATCAGGGTAAAGGATAAGGAGTCCCATTCAGAGGTCTGAATGTTTAAATCAGGGTAAAGGATAAGGAGTCCCATTCAGATGGTTGAATGTTTAAATTAGGGTAAAGGATAAGGAGTCCCATTCAGAGGTCTGAATGTTTAAATCAGGGTAAAGGATAAGGAGTCCCATTCAGATGGTTGAATGTTTAAATCAGGGTAAAGGATAAGGAGTCCCATTCAGATGGTTGAATGTTTAAATCAGTGAATCATTAATTCATATATTACTATTATATTATTATTATTATTATTATTATAATTATTATTATTATATTATTATATAGATTCCTGTGCAATCTTAGGTGAAGTTTGTTTTGTTTTTAAAGAGGAAAATAGAAGAATACACATGGATACAATCAATATTCAGAGTATTTGCACTTACCTTTCGTGAGACATTGGGACTTGTTTGTGGTGCTCCTCCACTTTTAACGGAACCAGTCCGTATATTCTTGGGATGTTCTCGTCTCTTTAAACAAAAAACATATATTATGTACAATACAGGGGCTAATATGAGAAAGAGACTAATTGTTAATTCCAGATATAATGTGCTCCTTGCAGTAAGATCACCAACTCCCATCACCTGTATATAATCCCTCATGTGGATGTAAAAAACACTAGTCCTATTAGTTTCCCCACACTGCATAGATTTACAATATTTTATCAAATGTAAGGTGCCAAAAGCTTTAATAAAATTTGCATTCTATGTATTTCTTTCCTAAATGTCATAAATATCCAATTAGTATGAACAGTCATAAATATCCAATTTAGGTATATATGCTAATAACAGTTACAGTTAAAATCATGATCAATCAGTTATCTCCCTTTGATATTCTTCTAAACCAATAATATCCACTTGAACTATCAAGTAATCCCAACTCAGCATAACTCTTCTTCAAATTAAGAAATATCTACATCATTTTTTAAATGCTAATATATGAAAGTTTAAGGATCTTCTCTTATTTCCTTTTTTAATGTGTCTCGTCAGTTATCATATTTAAGAGTCACATGATACTTTGACTCCAGCGGTAGCTGGGTCGTACTAGATAAATGATAAAGTTTCTTGTTTCTGTATTAGTTGACTATGTTGACTTTATAATCCACATATCTATAGTACTTCACAAATTATTAATACATCCTTCCTTATCCTTTCCTCCGGAATTTACAACAATGTCCCGTGTTAACATTTCACAAACATGTCCTTGAACATGCACAATTATAACAAGTAAACTGTACACAAATTCATAAACGGTTTAAATTATTATAAATGTTAGAATTTGTTATATAATATGCCCTATAGAATTTCTTTATTATCTTAATATATTGTATTATTCAAAGTATTTGTCAATGTCGGACACTTTTACAACAGAACTAAGAACTTCTTCCTTTTAAATATGAAACTGTTGACTTTTAAATTTTTGAATCATACCTTAAACAATTTGAATAAGAAAAATTAAACAAATCAACAAAAAATCTTATTGAAACACAAAGATCTTCTATCTGAGTTCTTAGATTACTATCAATTATATCCTTTATATAGTTCAGACACAATTAGCTCATGTGAACCATACCACCACTCCTCACTTCTAACTTCTTATAATTTGATCCATATTCAATCCATTTGAATGTCTTTCTCAAACCAAACTGAACTTAAGACACTTGTTAGAAAGAAGAATGCAAACATAAATAATACTAAGTAATTATTTATTACACAAAAACTCCTAATGTCAAGCCAATACACATTACTGGAATGTAATCAGTAACTTCTATCTCATTATTGAAACAATTCAGCACTTTTCACCTCCAAATTTTTTGTATGAATGACGTCTTAAAAGAACAGAGTATTTTATCACATGTAAACATCTGTCTTTACTACATGTAAGACACCACATGTAACTATCCATTCTTCTAATACCTAACTTCTTCCCCCTGGGGGACTAATACTTGTCAAAACATAGTAGATCACTAATCAAGCAGTGATCAGACTAAATTAATTTCTGTGTTATCCCTGATCACATCTGCCTATCTGATACCTCCAGTATCCTTTTGTATTATTCCCCATATGTTTATGTTAATTTTGATGTATATAATATATGACAGGTTGTTTTACTCAATAGATAGATGCTTATATAATATTTGTGGTTTATCTATTAGCATAAACATCAAAAGTGTAAATCAGTTTTACTATAAATTACCTCTGATTATAATTTGTGACCTTTTGATTACATTTATATGTATACAATTTACATGAATCATAATCTGCCATGCTAGGTTGATTTTTAGTGAAAAAAAGATCATTTGTCATAAATTGCAATACAACAATTCATATAAACAATTGCTTTTTCCTATCATTGTTTATCATTATTTCTGCATAAAAAAAAAATTTCTTTTATCTGAAAAATTAGATATTAAAGAGCCTTAAGTGAGCAAGCTTATCCCCTACCCCCTTTTTACATAAATTATGATTTTAAACAGTTAAATTGACTATCACAAAATTTATTTTTTATTTGACCTAGACCTTAGACCAAGTGACTTGAAAATCAATAGTGATCCTCCCCTTCAAGCTCTATTTATATGTCAGCACATATCCAAGTGTAATTGCACCAAGCATAATTGCAATCCCATATAATGCATCCTAAAAAAACTTTTCTGTACAAATTTCAGTCATTTTTTTAGTAACTTTTACCATGACCTTAGACATAGTAACATCAAAATTTATAGGGATCTTCCTCTCATTATATGTGACGGTATATCCAAATAAAATGCTCCGCTGGGCGCAGCTTGATACGACCGCAGAGGTCGAACCCTGAACAGTTGGGGCAAGTATGGACACAACATTCAAGCTTGATACAGCACTGAATTTGGACTGTGATTAAATATTTGACACAGCATAGGTTTCTGACACAGAATGAATGTGGTCTAAGAACTTAAAATTTTTTACTTTACCTATTCAAACCATATCATTATTATTTGCTTTTATATATAAATCAGAAATAACCCATTTATAAAATGGAAAATTTTAAAGAAAAAAAAAATCCCTCCCCTAAATTTTTTGAACCCCCTTATGATTCATCACCCCCAAACTCAATCCCAGCCTTCCCTTTGTGGTATGGTACCTTGCAGTACAATTTCAGAGAGATCCATACACTTGAACACAAGTTATTGTCTGGAAACTAGAAAAATGCTTGTTTTTAGGCCCCTTTTTGGCCCCAAATTCCTAAACATTTACAGCAATTACCCCCAAACTCAACCCCAGCTCCCTCTTGTGATATGGAACCTTGTAGTACAATTTCATAAAGATCCATACACTTACACACAAGTTATTGTCCTGAAACTAGAATAAAATGCTTCGCTGGGGCGCAGCTTGATACGACCGCAGAGGTCGAACCCTGAACAGTTGGGGCAAGTATGGACACAAAATTCAAGCTTGATACAGCTATGACTTTGGATTGTCATTAAATATTTGACACAGCATAGGTTTCTGACACAGGATGAATGTGGTGTAAGAACTGGAAAAAATTTAATTTACCTATTATGGTGGAATATCCATAAACTAAATTGTTTGTTAATTTCAATATATCAAAGAATATGTAGAATTCAATGTTTGATGTAATGTAATAAAGTTGAAATTTGGACCGTTTTTGTTCAATGTGGACCAATTTGGTAACATGTATAAATAATCAAAAATCTAAATACATGGGAGCCCATTTAAATACACCATAAAGGTATTAAAATAGAAAGTGACATCATAGTCATGGCTAAAAATAAACAAAAATCCTTAATCAGCAACATTTAAAGTAATATCTAAAAATAAAATTCCTTTGTAACCATAAAAGCCCATTTAAATACATCATAAAGATATTAAAATAGAAAATGACATCATAGTCATGGCTAAACATAGCAAAAAACCCTTAATCAGCATCATTTAACAGTAATATCTAAAAATGGAAATTACATCATAAAGGTATTAAAATAGAAAATGACATCATAGTCATGGCTAAAAATAAACAAAATCCGTAATCAGCATCAGCAACATTTTATAGCAATATCTAAAAATAAAATTCCTTTGTAACCATAAAAGCCCATTTAAATACATCATAACAGATATTAAAATAGAAAATGACATCATAGTCATGGCTAAACATAGCAAAAACCTTAATCAGCATCATTTAACAGTAATATCTAAAAATAAAAATTTCTTTGCAACCATAAAAGTAAAATAGAAAATGACATCATAATCATAGCTAAAAATAAACAAAAATTTTTTTTATTGGCAAATTTTAAATGGAGTTTATTATACTAAAACAATAAATTTGCAACCATAAACATGATAAAACCCCATTTAAACACATCATAAAAGTATTAAATAATTCAACTACATCATAAGGCTATAAAAATAGAAAATGACTTCATAGTCAAGGCTAAAGGTAAACAAAAAACCTTCATCAGCAAAATTTTATATTGGCAAATTTCCAATGAAGTTTATTACACTAAAATTGTTGGCAAATTTCCAATGCATTTATTAACAATAAAGTTATTGGCAAATTTCCAATTTACATAATTTAAAAGCAGTGTAGATGAGATATTTAAATGAGTTTGAATTACCAACCTTACACTGCTTTTAAATAATGTTCTTTACTCAATTATTTGTCTATTAAAATGGAAACCCTTGTTTTTTAACCTTTTTTCCCCTTATTCCTTAAACATTAGAGCTATAACCACCACCCCACCCCCCCCCCCCCCCCCCCCCCCCCCCAAGCCAATTATTACTTTCCAATGTAACCTAAATTTCCAATATACATAATTTTAAATTTCAGTTCCTCATGATATATAACCGTATCATTATTATTTTCTTTCATATATAAATCTGATACAACCATCTTTAAATGGAAAATTTTAAAGAAAAAAAAAGGAAAAAAAAAAATCCTACCCCCCACACATTTTTTCAACCCCCTTTTGATTCATCATCCCCCACCTCAATCACAACCTTCAATTTGTGGTATGGTACATTGCAATACAATTTCACAGAGATCCATACACTTGAACACAAGTTTTTGTTGCAAACTAAAAAAATCCTTATTTTCGACCAATATTTGGCCCCTTATTCATAAATGTTTGAGCAATTAACCCCAAAACTCAATTCCTACTTTCTCTTCGTGATAAAAAATAACTAACTTAAAATGTAAATTTTAAACAAAAAAAAAAAGGAAAAAAAAAAATTACCCCTTTTTTGACCCCCGCCCCCCCTTATGATTCATCACCCCCACCCCCCTTTCCCCCCAAACCAAGCTCAATAACAGCCTTGCCTTTGTGGTATGGTACCTTGTAATACAATTTTAGAGAGATCCATACACTTGAACACAAGTTATTGTCTAGAAACTAAAAAATGCTTATTTTAAACCCCTTTTTAGGCCCCTTTTTACTAAACGTTTTGGGCAATTACCACAACACTCATTTCCAGCTTTCCCTTTGTGAAATGGAACCTTGTAGTAAAATTTCAGAAAGATCCATACACTTACACACAAGTTATTGTCATGAAACTAGAAAAATGCTTGTTTTTTGCCCCCTTTTGGCCCCTTATTCCTAAAATTTTGAGGCAATTAACCCTAAAATCAATCCCAGCATTGACCCTTTGTGATATGGAATCTTGTGGTACAATGTCAAAGAGATCCATATGCTAACACACAAGTTATTTCTGGAAGTTACAAAAATGCTTATTTTCGGCCCCTTTTTGGCCCCTAATTCCTTAACTGTTGGTACCATAACCCCTAAAATCAATCCCCACCTTCCTATTGTGGTATTGAACCTTATGGTAAAATTTCATAGAGATCCATTCACTTAAACTAAAGTTAGAGTGCGAAAACCATTGTGTATTCGGACGACGACGCCGGACGACGACGACGACGACGACAACGACGACGACGACGACGCCAACGTCATACCAATATACGACCTCAAAATTTTTTGGCGGTCGTATAAAAATGCTTGTTTTTTGCCCCTTTTTGGTCCCTAATTCCTAAAATCTTGAGGCAATTACCTCCAAAATCAATCCCAGCCTTCCCTTTGTGGTATGGTACCTTGCAGTACAATTTCAGAGAGATCCATACACTTGAACACAAGTAATTGTCTGGAAACTAGAAAAATGCTATTTTTGGCCCCTTTTTCCTAAACGTTTTGGGCAATTACCCCCAAACTCAATTCCAGCTTTCCCTTTGTGATATGGAACCTTGTAGTTCAATTTCAGAAAGATCCATACACACACAAGTTATTATCATGAAACTAGAAAAATGCTTGTTTTTTGCCCCTTATTTGGCCCCTAATTCCTGAAATTTTGAGGCAATTACCCCCAAAATCAATCCCAGCATTCCCTTTGTGATATGGAACCTTGTGGTACAATGTCAGAGAGATCCATACACTAACACACAAGTTATTTCTGGAAGTTACAAAAATGCTTATTTTTTGGCCCCTAATTCCTTAACTGTTGGTACCATAACCCCCAAAATCAATCCCAACCTTCCTTTTGTGGTATTGAACCTTATGGTAAAATTTCATAGAGATCCATTCACTTAAACTAAAGTTAGAGTGCGAAAACCAATGTGTCTTTGAACGATGACGACGACGCCAACGTCATACCAATATACGACCAAAAAATTTTTAATTTTTGCGGTCGTATAAAAAGTTTGCAGTTCCATATGTAGCATTTGATTTGGAATCCGGAAACCACCTTTTTGCATAAATTTTAGTCTATTTTTAGTAACTTCTACCTTGACCTTTAACATGGTGACCTCCAAATCAATAGGGATCTTCCTCTCATTATAAGTGACCATGTTTCCAAGTAAGGTTGCAATCCGGTGTAAAGTATTTGAGTTACCTTGTGGAAACAAAAATGACTGACAGACGGATCAAAAACTATATCCCCCAATTACTTTGTAGCAAGGGTTATAATTACTGGCCAGTTACAAATTATTGTAAAACAAAACACACTTTCCCTCAATACTCTTCGACAGATACTCTATTTTAAAGAACATATTTTTAGACAAAAGGTTACCATCAGTTTGGTGTAGCACAACAGAATTGCTCTAAATCATCCTACTTACCAACCAAAAGATGTTCGCCATTTTACTGACCAGACATGACTGTAAATTTTACATCTCACACAACCAAATGAACCTGCCTTTTAAGCATGGATTTTCCTGCCAGGCACCAGGAGGAATCAAGGCATGATCACATTTTTATTACCCCAGTCAACTCTTGAGGTCTATACCCTTGGAGCGAAGAGATAGGTTTAGAACTTTAGGTAACAATGCATGTTTCTGTCGTGGAAAACTGTACCTTCTATGAAATCATGAAGTCAGACCTAAACTGAGACATTAGGTCATTAGGTCATGCAATGATTTACCATTGTTTGTAAGTATGGTCCCTACCAAAGTATGCATTAAACAAGTTATTGTTAATTATAATTTCTGATAATTAATTTTACTCTATGGAACATCAGAAACAAGAAATTTTTGCCTTATCCCATATTTTAGAGCAGTCATATTTTCATTTTCACCCATCTGTTAAAGCCATTTTCATTTCAACAAACTATTAAATTTGCCAATCATTTTATAATCATTTTCCTCCCAACAGCTATTTTCCAACTGACATACACTATACAACAACAGGAAAGGGAAAATATAATCATATGACATAATGCATTTTACATGTACCGACATTAATTTCAAAAATTTGTCACATCAACAAAACTTTATTTGCATGTAACGCCCAAAAATATTTGTATGATTCATACAATCTGTATTCCTATACATGTGTATATATATAATTTACATTTATTGTAAATCATTTATAATTTATAAATATCACATGAGGACAATACTTCTATTTCTAAACGATGTTTTATAGGTTACAAGAGCGCAATTATTTGTTTACATTTTACCAGCAAGAATTTTTTAAGATGGTACTCAGAATAGAATCTTGTGTGTCTCCTCATCGGATGATACTGAGTTGGAAATTATTTTTAATCAAAATTTTATCCATTTAGGTTTTAATAATCAAGAAAAAATTTATTAATTCATATTTTACAAAGTGTAGAAAATGTATTCAAATTTGTTTACGAAGGCGCCATAAAAAAATTTAAAAATTAAGCAAAACAAATAAGACTTTGTTTTCAACTGTATTTGAACTTGAAGTCAACTTTTGTCGCATGACCATATCTATTAACATGACTGTTATTCACCCTGACATTTCTAAGAACAGGAACTGCTATCCATTTTTTACTAATTTGTGTATTCTTTGAGAAATAAAATATGGAACACCACTGGTACCCTATGTCAAATGCATTATGAATAATTGCTTTAAGTTGAGGTGTGCATGATATCCAATTACATTTAATGACTTCTTGGTGTAAGTTACAAAAACTTTCTATTCCATTTGCTTCAGCCATTCCAAGAAAAAATGAGTATAGTTTATTTTTATCTGTATAGTTTATTTTTGCTCGAACAGGAAACTTTTATGCATTTGTTATCTATTTATCAAAATTCATTCTGTACATGACAAAAATATCTAATCTATTTCAAGTTTCTACAGTTAACAATAATCTTTAAGTACATGTACTCATAAAGGGACATATCTACCATTTAGTTTGATTAGATCAGGAATTTTTAAAAAAAGACATTGTTCTATTTATTTTAGAAAAGTCTAGGGTAACCGTAAAACTAAGTTTTTAACTTATATAGATCTAGACCAAAGCATTAATACTCATTGCACGTAAAGATCTCACAAGGAAAAGCTTCAGTAGACTGTCAACTTGGCTTCAGTTTACACATATGATATTTAGTAGCTATGACAAATATCTAAAAGGTTAACGCTCCATGAATGGAACTTTTGTTGGAAAAGTATGGTGGTCACCTGTTGGTTTCAGGACCCCTTCTTAATTTTTCAAAATTCAGCCATTCACCCACTGGTTTCATGAAGGTTAATTGCTTCAATGGAAAGGAATATGTCTGTAACACACTACAGACTGTCTTCCTAATGAAAGTTTACAGAAATGTAATATTTCGTTAAATTCCTAATTATATACCAAAACATAGTAATTTATTTGTAGAAAAGTTTAATTTTACATATGATTCAAAGGTGATATGGGGTATATGCCAAGGAGACAGCAACCCATTGCCACAAATAACAAAAAGACATATGAGGTCAACATGCAGTTTTAAACAACAGATCTGTGTCTGTGCAATACACCAAATTTTAATTTTTTCCCAGAGTTCAAGAAAAGCTGTAAATGAATTAAACAAAGACTATTAAAGATCTGACATCAACCTCAAATTTTCCACTTACAAAAATCTCATTAAGATAAATATGATGTAAAACAAGCACTTACAAGGTTACTGACCTCGTACAGGATCATAAACATGTGGTGGGGTCAAACTAGTTTTTGAGATCTTAACAACCCCCTTTTATAATCTCAATCAATGAACTACATGTAGCATGTCTGTTTTTCTAAATATAAAATCAACATTTTACAAAATCAAATTGCTGATATAAATAAAGAGATAAAAGAGTTGATAATCTTGTAAATTCTAAGTACTTATCACTTCAGTGAAATGTTTCCAATTTTTAGTAAAAAAACATCAAGAGAAGTTATTTGTTCAAACTTTCAAGAAACTGTGAAATTACCAACTTTGAAAATAATAAACATAAAATCTTATCAGTTTAGAAAGATATCTTATAGATTATAAGTTCTATTTTATTTTGTTTGCAGTTTTATTTAGTAAGTGGTGAGTTGCTTGCCAACATATTTACAGCTCAGGGGAAACAACTCTTATGCCTTGTTACAAAGCTGTGAGTCTTTGTTCATCCTAGAGTTTTATTTATCTATTTTTCAAATAATTGTTTTGTCATAGTCTTCACATTCTAAAAGGGAACTAAAATAAGGCAACTTAAAGTTGATATTTTGATTTAGATAGATTTCCCAAACGAATTTAAACTTAAATACTTAACCTTAACAATTGTTGAAATGTTCATCAAAAATAAAAATATTATTTCAAAACAGACCAAATTTTGACAAAAACAAATATCTTTTTAGAACGTTAGCCCCCCCCACCCCCCACCCCCCCCCCCCCCCCCCCAAAAAAAAATGTTGCTCTTTATGCTAATAATACCTTGTTGCAATTTAAAATACTTTCTGTGAGATATCAGTTATAATAATATAGTGACTTTATTTTGTAGTCATCTAGATTTTGACTGGAATGCAGTAACAACTGATGTTAATTGGACAAAAATCAATCAAACTTTGATTATTATAACACACATTAGTACATGTACTTACTGTTTGTGCCACTGGAGTTTGTGTAGAAATTTCTCGTTTGGAGGACAATCTGTCCAAATCCTCATTCCGTACTTCTGTGTTTTGTTTCAAGGTCTACAAATAAAAGTAAGCAAATGTCTCAATAATGTTGAAACAGTTGAATCCACAATACTGGTGCTAAATTATACAGATTTAAGGGCCTGTGACAATACAAGAAAGACTTTTACCAGGAAGGGGATATTTTCAAAATAATGGTTGTGAAATATCTAAGTTTTGTTCTGAACTAATAATTCTAAGATTTTAACTGAATATTGTATTTTTGTATACTTACAATTCATTTTTTTTTGTATCCTGTTATTTTAAACATGGATACAACGTGTAGACTGAACACAAATCTTTAAATCACATAAAACAATTTGACATTAAATACTTGCAAATGCAAAAAAAAAAATGCATTTGATTCCTAAATGTTTTATACAAAAAATATACTCAATTACACTGCTTGGACTTCATGGAGATAACTTAACATTTAATATTAACTTTTGAAGATCAGAAACCATATTGAAACTTTTCCTGTATTCTTAGCTGTAGCAGTGATTGGGAAACTAAAGATAATAAACATTATTTGGTTATTCAAATCATTAATGTCACAAATTATAGCTTTACAGTTACATGCTATTGTGTCCACATCAACTTTACTGGACAAACATACAGTCAAATGAATCTCTACACTGACATTACTAGACAATTCCAGTCAAATAAATCTCTACACCGACTTTACTAGACAAATCCAGTCAAATAAATCTCTACACCGACTTTACTAGACAAATCCAGTCAAATAAATCTCTACACCGACTTTACTAGACAGATCCAGTCAAATGAATCTCTACATCGACATTACTAGACAAATCCAGTCAAATAAATCTCTACACCGACTTTACTAAACAGATCCAGTCAAATGAATCTCTACACCGACATAACTCGACAGATCCAGTCAAATGAATCTCTACACCGACATTACTAGACAGATCCAGTCAAATGAATCTCTACACCAATTTTACTAGACAGATCCAGTCAAATGAATCTCTACACCGACATTACTAGACAAATCCAGTCAAATAAATCTCTACACCGACTTTACTAGACAGATCCAGTCAAATGAATCTCTACACCGACATTACTTGACAGATCCAGTCAAATGAATCTCTACACCGACATTACTAGACAGATCCAGTCAAATGAATCTCTACACCAATTTTACTAGACAGATCCAGTCAAATGAATCTCTACACTGATTTTACTAGAAATATCCAGTCAAATGAATCTCTACACCGATTTTACTAGAAATATCCAGTCAAATGAATCTCTACACCGACTTTATTAGACAGATCCAGGCAAATGAATCTATGCTACTTTTGTTTGAATCTAGAGACCACTGTCTCAACCTTTCTTCCTAATCACTGCTACTGTACCTTGCAAATATTACTTTAGAAAATGACTGAAATATTTACAAATAAATAGCAGCAACACAATCCTGGACACATCTTATTCCATAGTAGTAACCTAAATCTTCTTTTCCGCTTATCATCCATTGAACAGGTGTTTGTAGAGAAAACCACTATCTTATATTTCAGATATCACTACATCTCCATAAATTTGCCACAAGGTGTGCATAAAGTACTGATATAATACAGAGGGAGGCAAAAAAGGAACTTCAGATAATTAAATTGCATTTTATTTCCTTCTCTGTCTGTAAATTCTAATAAATCATATACTGTTTATGAAGTTGACATAAATGGATATCAGGTTTTTATCATGATTATTTAAAAAGAGTTATGAGGGATCTATTTAAATTTAGTGAAAAAAGAACAATTTCCTGTTCATGCCCCCTTTCAATTTCCCTATTAGTGTGCAACAGGATTATAATATCAATGAGCATATTTGTCAACAAATCACCAAGGTCTAAGGTGAAAAGCAAACAAAAAAACTATTGAAATATGCAGTATTATACCCAATGATGACTCACACATAACCACAACCTAATTATTGAACACAATAAATCTAGTATTGTATTACTTCCTGTCTTAAAAGGAAACATTATTATTTATCTTTAAGAATTCAAGGTCCATCATTAACCATAGCTACTTTGTAATTTATCTTTATATTCTAATGTTTATCAATGGAGGGGAGGTAACTCAAAGGCAAAACTAATACAATGGGCTATGATGTTTAAAAATTTAATGCACACGTAAAATCAGAACCATTACACATCAAACAACTAATACATGATATTTCATGTAGCTTCCATTCAATCTTAACGTAAGGTCCACGTTTAATGGTCGCACATTTTCTTTAAATTTTGAAACTGATATAACTTGAAAAACAAAAAGTATTATTTATTTACTCACATGAAACAAACAGGGATGCGGTATTCAGTACGTAGGTGAAACTGGACGATATTTATCTAAACGCACTCAAGAACATCTGTATCGTTTTAAAAGACCCAATAAATTCAAAAGTATCATTTATCAACACCTTAAGAAGCACAATCATCCTATTAAATATTTAGCAGTTCAACCTTTAGAAGTAGTAAATAAGCAGCCTGGTGAATCTCATTCAAAGTTTGTACGATCACGGAAAATAATTGAATTAAATTGGATTAAAAAATTACAGACAGTCTACCCTCTCGGTCTTAATGATAATATCATGGGAATTGGTAATATATCAAGAACTGATTCTGTTAACATTTTGGATATAGTTTCTAAAACTGTTCGTAAAAACCGTTCTCATGGTCGTAGAAAAAATCGCAATAAAAGAAAATTTCAGACCAATCATACCAATATTTCGGACCTAATTTCTATTTCAAAAAACAACGGCAGACATTATCTGTTAACAAAGCTCTGTTCATTACCGGTTAATAAGTTAAATAAAATTTTAGAGGATTGCAACACAATTTCATATAGCAGTCCTAAGTATGAAATCGTCCAAATTATAATGGCATATTGTTATTCTAAACTGTTTCCCAAAATTGATCGCCCTGAAGATCATAAAAAACAGTTCATTAAAATAAAGTATGTCAATAAAGGTTTTGATTTTATAAATATTGCCGGTATTTTTAACGACCATTCTGTTAAAGAACAAATTCCGGGATATTTTGATAATACTGAGCTCCCTCTAATTTGTTATATTTACAAGAAATCTACCCGGAAATTTGTGTTTAATTATAGCCAATTGTGTAAAGATGTTAATATCAGTGAAAATACACCTACTTCATGTAATTGCAGTAATTCCGAATACATTTATGGACCCATTTCCCATGTTATAACAGGAGATCTTAACATCGTTCAAGATCGAGAGTTAAAATCATTCCTAGTAAAGGACCTAAATATCGTCCCCCGTCAATTATTAATTGGAATGAGTGTCGTAATATCATCCACGACTCACTCCATACTTACTGTTTGAAATGGATAAAACGGGAAAAAGCTGACAAAAAATCTTTGGACTCTTTTTTTAATTCAGTAATGAACATAGTTGATATACGTATTCAACATTTTAAAGAACATTTTACTCTTAACAATAACCACAATAAACCTATTTCTCGTATCAAACATAAACTAAAAGAACTAGCCAAGGAATTTGTTTTTGTCCCGGCCGATAAAGCTGCTAATAGTATTATTATTGTTTGACGTAAATTTTACATTGAGGTTCTGAAAAAAGAAATCACCAATTCACCAACATTCCAACTGACTCCATTTTCAGAAAACGACATCTGTAACAAACATAAACTTTTAGCTACCGCTTTACAAGCAGAACCAAATACAATGAAAGTCCCAACTATGTATTGGCTTCCGAAGCTACACAAAACACCTCACAAATATAGATTCATTTCGTCTTCAAGCCATTGTTCCACTACTAAATTGTCTATTCTTCTTACCAGTACACTTGGTACAATCAAAAACCTGATAATAAATTGTTCAAATAAGGCCTTCGAAAATAGTGGAATTAATTACTTTTGGAGTGTCAAGAACTCGTTGGAAGTACTTGATAAATTACATGCATATATTGGTGATTTTGAATCTGTTCAAAGTTTTGATTTTTCTACCCTATATACCACATTGCCTCACATTCTCATTAAGAAAAAATTCACACACCTAATTAAATGGGCATTTAAAAAGTCAGAATGTGAATATATATGTTCAAACTCTTTTAGGTCATTTTTTAGTAGCAATAAACAAAAAAACTATGTCAATTGGACATGCTTTGATACTATATATGCCCTTGAATTTTTACTAGATAACATTTTTGTTCGCTTTGGAGATTCCGTATATCGTCAGGTTATCGGAATTCCAATGGGGACTAACTGTGCACCACTTATTGCGGACCTTTTTTTGTATTGCTATGAGTTACAATTTATGACAAAAATCAGCAAAGACCCATCGAAACAACATCTGATACACAAATTTAATAATACTTTTAGATATTTGGATGATATTTTGGCTCTCAATAATGACGACTTCAGTATGTATACTAAATCAATTTATCCTGTTGAACTAACTTTAAATAAAGCTAATACTAACAATGACCACTGCCCTTTCCTCGATCTTGATATCTATATCATTAATGGAAAGCTCTATACTAAAATATATGATAAAAGAGATGATTTTTCATTTCCTATCGTTAATTATCCATTTTTAGATGGTGACGTTCCCTTGTCACCATCTTACGGTGTTTATATATCTCAACTTGTACGATTCGCTCGTGTATGTAACAATGTTTTAGATTTTAACGAGAAAAATTTATGTATTACTGAAAAATTATTACACCAGGGTTTTCGATATCACAAACTAGTCAAAACATTTACTAAATTTTATCATCGGTATAAGGACATCATTCGTAAATATAGCTCAACATGCAGACTTCTTATACGTTCAGGTATTTCACATCCAATTTTTTATGGAAATATTCTTTATAAAGCACAAAAATGTCAGTATTCACCTCTGAAGCTAACAAAACCTTTAAATAGACTTATTAAGAAGGGATATAGTTACGATACTGTTGTCAGGTCATTAAAGATTGCATATTTTGGCGTTAATATTGATTCACTTATAGGGTCT